ACATGTGAAGCATCTCTCCCTATATTTGCATTTCATGGGGTGATTTAACAAACAAGCCTTTTTGGAGCTGTCCTGGCTGAAGTTGGGTTGTTCTCTCCCTCTAGTGGCGTAATCAAGAAAGTTCACCCAGTTGATTTCTCAAGAGGAACACACGACAGCCCCAGATAGCCCCAAGCTTGATCTGGTCTTATTGCTGCTCTGGTTCTTTCTTTGGCTGCTGCCAGAAGCCAGACACTTTCTCCACCACTTTTGCCCACGCTTCTTCAGCTTTCACAGTGATTTGAGCTGTGGTCTGTATCAGGAAGTTCCTGTAGGATGTGATGGGAAACAATACATTAATTTTCAGGCAGAAATTGTTATATATATATTGATGTTACTAGTTGTTCATAAAGCAGTAGGATAGTAACAGGGTTCTGGGAATATTCTCTATATTCTCTTCTCAGGAAGACAGATGTGAATGCAGAAAAAACTAGAGTTGGCGACTTGAAGCTTGGATGCGACCCATAGAGCTCCTGATGGAGACGTGCGGAGTCGCAGTGGACAGGAGGAGTCCCGGCTGGGTCTGCCCCCCTACGGAGTCCTTGTAGGGGACTCCAAGCCTGGGGTGCGGGGGAGAGCCTCTTCCGAGGTGATGGCTGAGTAATCGAGGCTCCCCCTACCCCAAGAGGTCCTGCCACCGCGAAGCCATCATGGCGCTTAGAGTTGGCTGCCAGAAGAGCCGATGATCTAGTGTGAATACCCTCCTATAATGACGTAAACGCGATCAAACTGTGAGTTAATTGACCCCCTTCAAAAGCGGCTAAAGACTTTAAGGCAAACGGCATCAACTTATGAAATAAGCGGTGGGTGGGGGAAGAGTTGTGGTTACCTCCCCCTAAAATTGAACGGTCCCTGAATGACAAATGAAAAGAAAATAAGCAAAACTGACCGTGAGAGACTGTACCTTAGACTGAAAGGTGCAGAAAAAAATAGAGTTAAAATATTAAGGCCAAGTTCGACAGTGCAAGTAAATTAAAATTATATTATTGAACCAGAAATTCTCTACGCATTTTGCCAACAGGCTTCTTCAGGAGAATCTGTTAGTCCTTCAGTATTCCTTCAACAAGAGTACAAGATCAGTAGCCAAAACCTAGAGTACCACCAACATAATTTAAGGTTGGGTGTGACTAGAGAGATGGAGATCCTGTTAGGGTTTATACAGTTTTGGATCCTCCCCATTAGTACTAGAGGACATATTTCATCTGTTGAGATAGTCAAGGCCTAAAACAGTTAAATTTTGGAAATGCCTTCAGACTAACAAACACTAGCTTTTTACTTTATCTTTTCCAGTTCCCCTTCTTAACTGTAAACACAGTGTGGCTTTTTTGTCCACATGGGTCACACAATCTACAGCCGTAGCCATTTCAGTAGTCAAAAGATGCCTCTTCTTTTTCCAGAAGAAAATCTGACACAGTATGTCAGCTACCTGCTTCCATGATTGTTTGACACTGCTGCTGACTACTAAGCAGCATCCACAGCATTTATTCTAAAGAAACAGAAACCCCGGTAGCAGATTGTGGCTGGTAAGAATTACAGAGAGCTGTTCTCTCAAAAAATGCTATGCATCTAATTTTCCTAATATTCTCAGAAGCTATCACAAACATTTTCCCCCAATTAAAAAAGGTATCCCAACTACACACATTGCTACTGTGAAACTCAAATCACACTCTTATCCCTGTACTCCTTGATCCATGACCTTTCAGAGGTTCCACAAAGGAAGAAACTCCTGTTGTCATCATACCTGGAATCAAGAATTAACGGAGTCTGAACAGCTTTTGCCAGCACCTCTGCAGTTTTAGGGGACACTGTGTCCACAGCCTTATACACATAAAATGCAATTGCATCGGGCAAGATCAACCAGTCACGACGGACATGCCTCTTTGAGATGGCTTTAGCACCAATTTCTGGAGATGGCAAAGGAAAAATAAAGGAAAACAAACATGAATCCTCTTCTACAATTTAGTTTACAGGAAGATGCAAATATTTCCCAAATGTTCCAGTAGCCTCCTAGAGACACAGCCTTGTTAAGATTTATCACAGTTATGGTTGCCTGCATCCCTTGGCAAATGCTAGGAGATTATGAGGGTGGTGCCTGGCGAGGATGCAATGTCACTTCCAGGTGATGCTCTAAGAATTCCTCCTAATCTGTATGGTAAAGACCACAGACGGAAATTTCTAGAGCATCACTGTAGAGGCCATTGCAGGGCCATATTTTCTCCTGCTCCTTCGTTTCTTAAGTGCAGGCGTTTACCTGCAGCAGGGGCAAACAGCAAGCCTAATCACAGTATGGGATGAGAGAATGACTTACTCCCTCTGCATCACCAGTGAACTGCTACAACTTTATATTAGGAAGCAGTTTGGTGTTCTGGTGTTTAGATCTGGGTAGAAGTTCTTTTGCAGCACCATAGTAACTGTGTAGAATTTAGCAAAGCAAAACTGGATTTATGCAAAAGCTAAGGAAAATACAGTTTAGGACCTCAGATTATATAGTGCCCATTAATGCAAAAAAACCCAACAACACCAAACAACAAAAAACCCTACCCTAAATCCTTTTGTGGTAATGCTACAGGGCCACTCATAGTTCACTTTACAGTCTCAACATTGCTTGATCCAGCCCTATGACAAAAATCTAAGGCAGGGGTGTCGAACTCATTTGTTATGAGGGCCGGATCTGACATACATGAGACCTTGTTGGGCCAGGCCATGTGTGTCATAAAATGTAATGCCAGGTAGTGGAGATATAAACTTCATAAACGACACAAACACAAAGGTGGGTGGGTTTTTTTACTTAAAAAACACCTTCCCTACATTGTGTGGCCCTAGCTAGAAAGTTTAAATACCTATGTAAACCACTCAGAGCCTCCGGGATGGAGCGGTATAGAAATTGAAGTAATAAATAAATAAATAAATATTTTGTTTATTTAACAGTGTCTGATAACTGACATCTCTTGTTCTGAATTACTGCATCAAAATGTCTGTGCTGTTGCAATCTTGAGTATGCTGTTCAGGTGTGTGTCTGTAAGCTGCAAACCTACAATGATGCAGCAGCAGCAGAACTGGAAGAAGAAGCAAAAGACAGCCAGTTCCACTGCGGGCCTGATAGAAGCCCTCTGGGGGCCTAATGCGGCCCTTGGGTCGCATGTTTGACACCCCTGGTCTAAGGCCTTGTTTTCTAATATGTAAAATACAAAGTAGGGTGAATAGTATAGCGTCCAAATTTTGCAGATGACACAAAATTATTCAGAATGGGGAGAACCAAGGCTGACTGTGAAGATCCCTAAGAGAATCTCTGCAAACTGGGTGAATGGGTGACAATGTGGCAAATGAAGTCCAATGTTGGTAAGTGTAAGGTGATGTGCATTTGGACAAAAAAAATAAATAAATCCCAGCTTCAAGTAGAGGCTAATGGGGTCTGAACTTGCTGAGAATGAGAGGGGGAAAGGTCTTGGGGTTGTAATGGATAGGTCAGTGAAAGTGTCAACCCAGTGTGCTGCAACAGTGAAAAAAGGCAAACTCTATGTTTGGGATTATTAGGAAAGGGACTGCACATAAAAAGGCTGATATTATAATGCCCCTGTACAGATCTATAGTGCAGCCTCATTTGGAATATCGTGTAAAGTTCTGGTTACTGTTATCTCAAAAAAGACATTGGAGAACTGGAAAAAGTACAGAAGAGGGCAACCAAGATGATTAGGGTGTTTGAGCATGTTTCCTATGAGGAAAGCTGAAGAGTCTGAAGGTGCGACAACTTTGGCCTTACCCTCTCCCCCTATCCTGGGGGATGGGCCTATGGGAGTGGTGGGTCTTAGGCCCTATGGGCAACTGCCTGCCAGGGATCTCATTTCCCCTCCCCCATGGGAAGCCTTATAAGGCTTCTCCGTTGGCCCCTGCTGGTCTAAGGAGGTCACTGCAGGCTATCAGTAGCTCCTAGCCATGGTGACTGAGGGGAACCTCTAGGTACAGAGGTAGTTCACCTCTGAATCCCAGTGCCAGGTGGCAGCATCAAAGGAAGGTCTCAGCCTCTATGCCCTGCTATTGGCCCCCCAGAGGAACTGGTTAACCACTGTGTGAGACAGGTTGCTGGATTGGATGGACCACTGGTCTGATCCAGCAGGGCTCTTCTTATGTTCTTCTTAGAAATTAGTGTCATTGTGTGCTTCATAAAGTGGATAAAGGATATGTAGCATTTTGCACATTTTCAGGTACTACAGAAATTGCTATTAAATTAGGACTACAAACTTCAGTTGACTAATTGGCACAACTAAAGCTTCAATTTTAGATTTCAAATTTGTGCTCAAGTCAGTTCACCTTATCAGGTGATAAGGGGGGAAAAAGAGAACCACTCTAGTCCTATGAACCTGTGATCGTTTAACCATATACAAAGATGTATCATCGTCCAGGCGCATCATTTGATGAAAAGAAATTTAACGTTTTTCTTTCCATATGTAATTAAGTGAATAGTGAATCTGAGGATGATAATTACAGGCTTCTTTCACATAAGATATGCAAACAACTGAAGACGGTAAACATGCAGATTAAATCAGTGTCATTATTTCTTATAAACCTAAATGTTACAATACTAAAAGGCTTTGAACTTGTTTATTTTTTGAAACCACATTGGTTCTAGTGTGTGTTCAGAATAGGGAATGTTCCTTATTCTCAATAACATTACAATATTAAAGATGGTCTAACAATGAGTAGTTGCTACAGATTAAATTGTAAGATCTCCCATAGAAAAAAACTGTATTTTTACAAATAAAATGTACTTTTGGTCCCTAAAATGTTGCTCTTGCTAAGGTTCTTCAGTATGTTAAATTCTATTTTAAATCAGCTACTATGCTGAAGACAAACATTTTAATTTCAAAAAATTGTAATCGTCTGAAGAAGAGATTGGATTTATACCCAGCCCTTCACTACCCAAAGGAGTCTCAGAGCGGCTTACAATCTCCTCTCCCTTCCCCTCCACACAACAGACACCCTGTGAGTTAGGTGGGGCTGAGAGAGCTCTTTCGAGAACTGCTCATGAGAGAATAGCTCTGAAAGAACTTGTGAATGACCCAAGGTCACACCAGCAGCTGCATGTGGAGGAGTGGGGAATCAATCCCGGTTCTCCCAGATTATAGTCCATGCTCCTAACCACTACACCAAACTGGCTCTTACGTGGCTCTTTGATGGCCTTAACAACATAGACAACCCCCCAGGGCCTGCAGAATATTTGTGCAGTAATTGCAATATTAGTGCTCGTGGGTCCAAGTCCAGGAACTGGTTCAGTCGTGTCTAGTTTATCATTAACCAGGCTCAGTGATGACAGCAAATTGCACATTCCAGTTGTTAATGCTAGGTCCTAAGGTCCTGAGGGTGAACATATGCTAAGCAAGCAAAGTGTACCTGAAGGTAGCCTTAAGGATCTTGAATCTTACCAGTCAGTGTACTGCCAAGGAGAAGAATCAGACAGACAGCAACTGCTTTGGACTGAAGCATGATGTCTAACACAGCCTCAATGCAGTTTGATGATACAGTTTCTTAAGTCCTGCAAGAAGAAAGCATTAAACTCCTGTGAAAAGAAAACAAATGTCAAATACCACATTGATATAGAGACCAATAGGCATGCACACATCCCACACCTACCCCCAGGGTACTAAATGAGGCAAGTATATTTTTGTTCTTCAACTGCTTTTAGTTAGTAGATACAAAACCTGGTGGTTGGTTTTTTTTAAGTTGTGTGCATCAGTTGTGAGTGGTAACAAAATGGTACCCAGTAGTGGGACATATCTCCCAAACAAACCTGCTTGGCTAACATGTCATTTAGTGGGAATGCTTTGATACTAGATCTGGTGTCTTTGCTAGAGCATACTAAGTTCTGATGCTCTGAAAAATTACATTATTGGGAAACAGAACTGTAAGACATATAGAACACTTCCAGACATTAAAACATAATAGATTGTGAAATAGTTTTCAAAATTGACGGTCAGTTTGGTATAGCGGAGTGGGACCTGGGAGATTCAGATTCAAACCTCCACTCTGCCTGGGAAGCTCACTGGGTTACCTTGGACCAGTCACACACTTTCAGCATAACTTAATCCAATATTATTGTGAGGATAAAACGGTGAATAATGTAAGCTGACAGGGGCCCTCACAGGGAAGAAAAGCAGACTACAAATGAAGTAAATCTTCTTCAGTGACTTCCCAACTGCTACCAAAAAAAGATGAAGGTATTATTTCTGTGTGCCTACCTACAATCTTTTTTGATTTCAGCTAGTTATATCTACTGTGCCTCTTTGGGTCTGAGGTAAAATTACACAAGCAAACATTAGATACATTTTTAGAGAGCATAAAACTGCATATTTTACAAATTTACTTTTTTAAAAAATATGTTCACTAACAGAAACTGTTAAGGTAAACGGGTTCTCCTTGGCTTCCATTCTGTGCTCTTTTGGAAACTATCCCAAAAGATACTCAGTAAAGAATACTGCGGATGGTTTTTACAATTGCAGCTCTCAGACACTGTGGAACAGATCTCAAGAGGGCATCTGTGTAAATGGAGCACTCAGCTCCTAAGAGTCAGTTTAAAGATGCCCCTTGCCAGCACCTTGTTATTTGATATGTCCTATCCAGATAGAGATTTTCCCACTTACCTCTCCAGTTGTAGCTGGTGTAGCTTCTGATTCTGAAACACCAGGTCACAGACTAGATATAGAGGCAGCCAAGAGGTCAAAGGTCCCATTGCTCTTCATCTTCTTTCCCAATAGAAGTGAGTCTGCTGACCAGCAACGGCAAGGAAGTGTTGAGCCCCAGATAATAACACTTGATGGTCACTGGACACAAATTCCTTACCCCTTCATGCACTTTGGCCATGCTCATTTAGTGCACACACAGGAACAGAGATTTTAAACAACATTAGCTGTTGTGCAAGTGGAGCCACACAGTTTGCTAATTGCTATTTGCTTAGTATGGTTACATGTAACCTCCTGAGGAATCAATGTAGACCCAGAAACTTAGTCCAGCTCTGCTGTATGCTGGAGGAAGCAGCACATTATCTTCTCCCGTGAGTCACAGTTTTTAAGCATATCACTATTTTCTCTACAGTTCCAGAGGTCTGGTTTGGTATATGACGCTAATTAAAAAATGGCAAAAAGGTTCTGCCATTTGACAGGAGGGGAAAGCCAGTGTCTAGACTTCTAAAATACCACCAGAGGTATACTGCCTCTGAACAGTAATGGAAAGATCAGCTCCTGTTCCTCCAGAATTGAAACCAGGCTAGATTTTCTCAGAGATGAAAAGAAATTTTAAAAAATAAGACATAGGTACAAAAATATGGCTGGATGTTCTCAATTTTTAATTACAAGCCTTTTGACAGTCTCTAGCAATATTGTTCACATCTCATTCTGCACTGTGAAGATTTAGCCACATTTTAAAAAAACCCCAGACAAGATATTGTAAATTACACAAAAGGCACTGATGCTGCGATTTAAACAGAACAGAAAAAAGATACTTTTTACACTCTATGGCACCAATACTGGCAATGTCAACAACATGTGCATTTATTATATTTTTAAAATTTATACCCTGCTTTTCTGCCTTCATCAGGGCCACCAAGGTGGCATTTATCATGTCTAATAAAAACATCAAAAAAGGATCGTAAAGCCCTGACCTGGACAGCCCAGGCAAGCTTGATCTTGTCAGATCTCGGAAGCTAGGCAGGGCCAACCATGGCAAGGACTTGGAAGGGAGACCTCCAAGCAATACCAGGGTTGGGACGCAGAGGTGGACAATAGTAAGCCACCTCTGAAACTTCCAGACCCCACTAGGGGTCAGCCATGCCTTCCAGGTATACACACACACATACACACAAAAAAAGGACTGTGAAAAAAGACAGCCTTCAGTCTTCATAGGTTTGCCACCCATATTTGCAATTAATGGATATGGGCATCGTTCATCTGGCTTGTCATTCAGTAAAAAGGGGGGGATCTTTAATGATGAAACAAGTTTGGAAACTAGTTGAAACATAAATACTTATCAGAAGGACTCCAAAAGACAGTTACAGCTTGCGTATGTGAATAATATAAGAGTACTGCCTGAGATGTTCTATCATTCACATACCAATTTCAATGCCTTTCCAGTCCATTCACGTATTCAGTTGCCAGCCATCAAAAAGGTATAAATTGGATTATCACTACATTTTACATCATTATTATATTGTTTGTTCTTGTTACCTGTAAAAAAACTCTTCTCCCCCCTTTTCCCCTTGTACCTAACCCCCTTTTTTGAAAACTAAAAAAAAAGTTGAAGGGGGAAAAAGACACAAATTGTATGGGCAAACCAAGCCTGGTATTCACTGGAGATTTCTGTGCACACAGCAGGGCTTTCCAGCTGCCCCTTTCCTGCTGCAGCCCAAAACATCCTCTGAAATTCTGCTCCTGGAGGGGAAAGCCCCCCCCCGAACTACATGAAGGGTGAGTCAGCATGAAGGAGGTATCAGGAAGGATCACACACCCCTTCTCTGTGTGGAACTCCTTCATAGGACACAAGCCCTTAATTCCTAATCACTTGTGATGCAACAACATTTTACAGTACAAGACACTCTACACGTTAATTTAGTGCTCTCAATCATGCTCAGTTATTAAGCTATTTTATACAGAGCATTTGGTAAATGCTTATGGAAACATAACTTGCAAAACTTGTGCAACCAGACTACTTTGATCAGGATTCAGGCTATCTGAACCAGGCAAATTCAAATACACATTAGCCTCGAGGATATATCTCAATTTGTAAGAGTTGGCATAACCAAGTGGAAAGGTACTACTGGATCTGGCCATTCTTCCCAAGTTCTATGACATGTATTCCCTAGTTATACCCCCTATGAGTCACTACTGTTTATTGCAGAATCACTTCCCAGATCCTGGACTCCAATATTATGCCCACTACAGACCTCTAGGGACACATGACTGCTTATCATCTGATTGCAACACCAAATGAAACTGCCTGAGGCACCACAGATGAACATGACAGTGTTTCAGAGCACCTTAAACCCAACAGGCAGCATCCTGGAGTTCCTCCAGCCCAAGGAGCCTTCCTCCATTGGAAAAGTCACTGGAGGATGGCTTCACACTTTGCTTAGGGGAATGGTCGGATACAGGCCAACTCTTTCCAACGGAGTTAAGTATTGTGTAATCCAGTGATGAGTTATCCTGATATACGTGCATGTTCAAAATCTTGCAATGTATTGGCAGACATTTTACAAAAAGAGACTACTCTTTCTCCAGGGCCTTGTAAACAGAAAAGAGATTGGCGTGAACAGAGCATGGAGTGGACACAGCACATGCCGTTCCTGCAAACTGGGGAAACTTCACCATACTGATACCTTTTCTTGCCAAAATGGCCATGGTTAGTAAGACAAATGTAGGACCAGAAGAGCATATGATGTTAGAATGGGGATCCCATCAGGCAAGATACATGCCATCCAATGCTCCCTCTAAGCTGTGGAGTCTTGTGAGCAAAAATTCTACTTTGTGAGCTACTGGCATTAAAGTTGTGAGTGGGCGATTTGGCTGCCGCATGAATTAGTTTGCTCTGGAAGCCATACTTCCTGAGCTAAGACAAAAATCTGTGAGCTGGAAGCCAAAAAGCTGTGAGCTAGCTCACACTAACTCATCTTAGAGGAAACACTGATGCCATCTCTACCTGATGCTGCTTCTTGTATGCTAAAGCTCTGAGAATATGAAACACAGTACAAACATGCCCTTAGAGGAAATTATTTTGCTAAGAACACAAAGCAAGTTTGCAGCTGAACTGTTTATCAGATGCAGACTTCCAGGCCCTTGCAAAATCTGATACCTTGCACTATGCAAGTGGTATTTCCAAAAAATGTCCCAAAGGCCCGTGTTAAAAATTAACACTGTATTTATTCAGCAATTCAATCCTTCCACTCAGCCTTTCTGCAGTCTGACAGCAAAACTACAAGTGACGGTGGTCTTGGGTCCATCCTCTGGCTGATCCAGATCAGGCATGTGGCAGCCCTAGGACCTTTTCCCCCCCTGTCCCCCACCACCCGTTGCATTTCCAGGTACAGAAACAGCTCCCATAACTGTTTTGGCATTTGAAAGGAGGCAGGAGGAAACAAGAGCTCCTGGGGCTGGCGTGCTCCCAGTCTGGATCAGGGCCTTGTTGCAATTTCTGAAGAACTGGAAATGCTTCTAAATAGGCATTGGCACCATGGGATGGACTTGTGACCACCGGCACTTGTGGTTTGGCTCTGACATTTGTTACCTTGCTTGCTTTTATGTAAATTCAGGTTTGACTATAATCTATTCATTCTGCCTGAACAAGCCCTATAAACACCAAAACACTGGTCACATTACCTGTGCTGCTAAACTAGTAAGTTATCTGTGTTACTAAACTAGTAAACCATTTCTTCAAGGGACACATCTGAAATGGCAAATTAATCACATCGGGTTATAAAAAAGAAAAATCTGTGATGCTGTAAGTGCATCATAATAGAAACTGACTTCCAGCATGGAATTTGACAAGTAATCTCCAATATACAGGATGCCCAAAAATATACAGGATGCCCAAGAATTCCAGTTCTCATTCCTGAAAAGATCTGATTTCTAGATAGAAAAAAAGTAATATACATTAGACAACATTGTCTGTTTCAGGAGGTTCTAGCTGGGGCTCCTAGGGGCTGGAAGGAGGGGCTTTACCCTTCAATGTAAAGCTCCCACTCACCTGCTCCAAAGATCACATTGAGTCTGCTTAACAAATGGAACTTTTGTACTTCTCCTGGTCTTCTGCAGCGCAGCCCATCCCATAAGTCACCCCAAAAGCAAAGTCTTGAGACTTGGGGGGTTCTCAGGAAAAGTGTGGGATGAAACACGAGGTTCATACCTTGAGTGGGAAATTCACAGAATTAACACCTATGCCCTTGCTTCAGAAAAAAGTGCCTTCTGCTTGGGTGAAGCCACATAACCTCAGTTTTGAATAAAGGTGTTACTGATTCACCTGATGCAGCAAAAAAGTTTCTCACTATAAATAACCAGCAGTACCTGTCTTTTGCTCTTACTCATGAAATGACTTCCAAGAGAAGCATGTTCGTTCACAAGCTTACAGATCTAAACCTGTGTGTGTGTATGTATGTGTAACAGTGCAATGTTTTGCCTCAAGGTGAGTCCCATAACAGCAACAAGAAGACAGCAACTGCAGAGCCTGGGATGCCAGAATTGGGAAATTTCCCCCTAAGGTCTGTTTATTACTGCTGGAAATGCAGAGGCACTAGGAGCACCAAGAGGTTAAAAAGATGCATTTCTTCAGAAAATAATCCTTCTCTTTTGATGCATAAATGGTGATAATTTTCCAGAGTTGTTCCTCGCATCCCCAGTTCTTACTGACTGAAATAAGTGAATCCAAGTCTGCTTAGTTTCTTGTAAACTTTGCTGCCTATGGGCAATTGAGGATCAATCAATGGAATTTAAGCAGAGAGATTGCATTCAGATTACTCTATGAGAAACTGCGTTCAGTAAAGACAATTCACTAGTCACAGTAAGAAATGATACCTTAGGATACTGATGGAAAGTAGCTCTGCCAAGGAATGAACAGAGATTTGTCTTGTTCTCTTACTGTTATAGCAGTACGCTGAGCTGGGAGCCAAGCCAAATGTTCTGGAGGTGTGCTAAGTGTAAACAGCAAGCTAGTCTCCACTTCTCTTTATAGCACAGAAGCCACTGTGAACTCTTTGCGTAGAGAGCACAAAAGGTGTGTATTCCATTGGTGGAAGAGCTGCTTAAATTTGAGTGAGGAAGGTTTCAAATTATGCTCACTAATGAGGGAAGGATAGGTGTAGGTAGGCTGCTGGTGCCGGGAGGGGGGGGGAGAGGGCTCAATTTAAATTAAAAATTTAAACCCAGAGAGTGGGGGAAGATGGTAGGCCAGACTCATTGCCAGCTGGGGAAGTCTTCTCCTTGCTTGCTAGCAGGAAGAAGACTTGGGCCAGCAACGAAGCCACGCAGCCACCCCCTCTTCCCCTGCCAGCCAGCTGAGCAGAGAGGAGGTTTAAATTTCAGCAACGGCACGATGTCTCCATTGGCTACAATGGAGACATCATGCTGCTGTTTTGATGTGACTGCAGAGAGGGGGGGATTTTAAAGTTTAAATCCCCTCTCTGCTCAGCTGGAAGGCGGGGGGAAGAGAGGGGAGGTGCAGCTTCTTTCTGGCAGTCTTCTCCCTGCAGGAAGAAGACTCAGTGGACAAGGAGTCCACACAGCTGCCCCTTCACCCCCCCCCAACCAGCTGAGCATTGGATAGAATGGACAAATTGTGTCCTCGCTGTGGCGTGACTCCAGAGAGGGGGTTTAAAACTGGCGGGGGAAGAGAGGGAGTGGCTGCATGGCCTCTGCTGCCGGCCGCCAAGTCTTCTTCCTGCTAGCAGGAAGAAAACGATTCCTTCCTTCATGCAGGAAGAAGACTCCGCCGGCAGGGGAGGAGGGAAATCTTGTGGGGCTGTCCCTATAAGGGAGGGGGCAGAGCCCCCAATAGCCCCACCATAGCTATGGGCCAGGGTAGGACCCCCCCCCAACCATCTGACATTTGCCTTACTTTGCAGAAAGTTACTCAATATTCTGCATGATTCAAAAGTAAAATTAATGGAAGGAAAAGTTTAGCTATTACATTATAGAATGGGCACAAGCCAACTAAATTTAATTCTGGTCTTAACCATATTTACTTTGAGGAATGAAAATACAAATCTAATTCCAACAACGCATGCCTGAGAGTGTAGAGTCAGAAGTGCTTAGCCTGATCTAGTTAAAGTTATACCAGCTCAGTGTTAGATCCGGTCACTATGCAGTATTACTATGCAGCATTTCCACGTCATACCGGCGACACCATCCCTGTGATATTACAGTTCCGATGAGAAGAGTTTTGCGAAGTCAGGCTATTTTGGAAAAAGCTGACTCTTTCCTGATACTTAGGAGGGAAGACAAAATAGATTCTTTGACGGGAGTCCCACTTCAAGGCTAAGGGATGCCTTCATGAAGGAATCGTATTTTCATGAACCATTGCTTAGAACTTTGTGGAAATCGAAGCATCCCAGAAGAGGTAGGCCGAAAGCAATGAGGAGGCACAGATCGGTGGCCACATTTCCCACTCGATGTTTAAAAGCCTCAACCAAAGAGGAATGTCTCCTGTTCAGAGAAATGAACGCTTCCTCATTTGATGCTGTGCTGAAGCAAAGAGGCTAAATGACAACACTCCTACCACTGCGAGAGCTGCCTTTTTCCTGCAGAAGAAAAATAAAGTGCTATTAAGACAAGGCAGAGAGTGCAATAGTTATTCATAGACCCTGCCCTAGAGATGTAGGGATTAATATAACTAATACTTTTACTTGGCTAAAACTGGCAGTGGGTTAAACCCAGCCGAGCCTGGTCTGCAGATAATGTTATTTGTCTGTACTCCATCTTTCTCTCCAATGGGGACTCAAAATGGCATACATCATTAACCTCTCCACCATTTTATCCTCAAGACAACCCTGTGAAGTAGGGCTAGGCTGTTTGCATGTGAGTGGCCCAAGATCATCCAGCAAGCTTCCATGGGAGAGTGGGGATTCAAACCTGGGTCTCCTAGACCCTGGTTTGACACTCTAACCAATATCTGAGTGAGGGATGTTATTCACTACCTTCTGACTCCTTAGGCAATCTGTTTCAGATTAACTGTGTTTATAAGCCCATCTCTGACTGAAGACCAATGTAATATAGACAGGCAGATCACAGCCCTGTGACGTTTGCCATTGCTTTTTGTAGAATGACACCTGTCTATTAACATGCACCAACAAGCCATTGTTGCTCCCAGTGCACAAACTGGGGGAGGGGGCTTAAAGAAAGTACAGTCATCCTGTACGCTCCTAAAAGCAGTAGCTCAGGAAGCCATACACAAAAATGAGGGGGGCCAATCTACTATAATTCAAACATTACTTGTCTGTCCTCTTCTGCTTGCATGCCTAGTTGCTACTGTTGCTTCCATGTCCCCTAGTTGAAAAACAGTGTCCTGCAGATAGACTGCTCAAGTTAACTGGACAGGTAAATGACATGTTACGATTTTGATTTACCAGTACACTACAGGCAGACATGAAAGAAAGAGCTAATAGCATGTTCACATTCCCACAAGATTCCCTTCCCACATCACATCTGGCGGCAGCCTTCAACAGATGTGGCAACCTACCAATCCCTGTGCTCACAAACACAGTTCTGTTTATCGCAAGGAAGGCTTATTCAGACCCGTAGCCAGGAATTTCTAAGTTGGGGGCATTTAAATCTCTCAGAGGGCCCTTAAATATTTTAGGTTATTTAATTATTTCTCCTGTGCAACCCCCCTCCCTCAAGCCCCCTCTCCAGATCCCCAATGCAGCCAGCATCCCCCCAACTCCTTCTCCCTCTCTGGCATTCCCCCCCTGCTGTTTCCAGTCACCCGGCTCTCCCTTCCCTCCGTAGGGTGGGACTGGGAGATCACATGAGCCCGCTTGGCTCCCTTGCTGCTCTTGGCCAGCAGCTTCTGACTCCCTCTCTCCTACTTTCCCCCCTGACAGGGAAAAAAGCCAGTCCCTGCGTAAGGCCCACACTCTCCCTTCTGCTGCTGCAGCCGCCTCCTCTTTGCTCTCCTCCAGCCTCCTCTGCTCGCTCTACCCCCGACTCGGCTGGTGGTGGTGTCGCTGCCGTCCCCCCACCCCCTCCGCAAGCAGCAGCAAGCCAGGCCTGGGAAGCAGCAGCAGCAGCAGCTGCCACTGCTGCTGCCGTGCACGCCTCTTCCTCCCTTGGCAAGCCATCTGCCTGCCATGGCCCCCATGGGGGCCTCCTCCGTCTCTCCGCCGCTGCTGTTGTCTCCCCGACTGCCCCCCCCCGACTCCTGAGGTGGCCGAGGAGGACGAAGAAAAGGAGCTGCCCACGTTGTGGGTCTTGGTGCCCCACTCCTCTCCAGTGTCCCAGCCCCCTCTCACCCCCGTTGGCTGCAGCAGCTGTTCCTCCCCCAATGAGTCCTACGCAGGAAGGTAAGGAGAGGACTGTGGGGCTGCTGGCAGGTGTGGAGAGGGAAGAGGCAGCAGCAGTGGTGGGGAGTCCGCTGGGCAGCCCAGAAAGTTGGGGGGCCTTGGCTGCCTAAGAAGTTGTGGGGCCTTGGCAGGAAGTCGGGGGGGCGGGCCCCAGGGGGGCCCCACCGTAGCTGAGGGGCCTGGACTTATTTACCGATTGTTGTTCCGTAGGGTATCTGGATTTGCTGCTTTTGGTTGGAGTGATTTCTATTGAACGATAACTAGGGGGTTTCTCTTCTGGCCACTCTGGAGAACGGTGCTGGCGATGTCTCCTGCTATTCTCCTGGAAGCGCTCGTAGTTATCAACTGAGCTCCAGGAATCCCAACGAGATGGTGGAGAATAGCTGCGATGTCGGCGGCCCCGGTGATTAGAGTCACTGTCCCTCCTACTGAGGTGCTGATAGGCCCGCCTCCCTGAATGCACGTTTCTTCGGTCAGAGTACTGCCGGCCAGAGTACTCCCTTCTGGCATCCGCAGGATAGGCCTCGAGATCGCTCCTACCATGCAACATGGATGACGCATTTGGCCTGGAATTCTGGGACCTATCATGATGACTCCCATTTCTCCGCCTTTCAACTCTATGGTCTTGCTGTCTGTCCCAAGACTCCTGATCATAGTTGGACTGGGAAACTTCATCCAAGGAAAGACGCCTCCATCTCCTCTCCTCCCTCTCTGCTTCACTTGCATTGCTCCGAGGCCTAGGAGTCCGTATAGACTGCTGTGGACGTGATGAACTGCTGGTCCTCTGAGACGAAGGGATGTGTTCAACGATGGGAGGTAGGTGGATAACCCTGCGTTCCACAATCTCCGAGCCCAAAGAAGACAGTATACTAGGGTTCTGACTGCCCCCAACATGATGAGAAGGCAGCAGAGGCTGGGATAGGCTGAGGTTTTTGATCTCTGACTCAAGGAGTTCCAAGACCTTGTTGTTAGCAGGCACCTGGCCAAGTGAAGGCATCAGTGGCTGACTGCTCTGCAAAGAGACATCTAGAGAACATGGTAAAGAGACATAACCAAGTAAGGAAAGTCTGTGAAAAGGTACAAGTTTTGCAGTGAAGCATTTATTCATTTATACCCCACCTTTCTCCACTGATCCTTGTGGAACATTACAAACTTCAAAAACAGTGCAATCAGACAGCATAAAATATCCAATGAACAATGCGATAGGATTAGGATTATAAAACTGGAAGATGATGCAGGAAAAAATAGCACATGATATAGCATAACCAGTACAGAAAATAGGCTACACAAGTAGAAGACAGGGCAGAAAAAGAAAGATAATACATAAACTGTATGATGGAGGTTACTGAGGAATAGATTCCATAAGGCCAGATCGACTGAGTCAAGGTAGGAAAGCTTTCTTCCAGGAAAAATGAAGGCAGGAGGAAGCATTTTTGCAGCTGCATTAACTTGCTTCTCTATCAATAATACTGGTTCCAGTATATAACACCTAGGCTCTTAACTGAACATCAGGGAGGGTCAGCTGAACCCCACCAAAAGTGGGGAGCACAGCAAATCATGATTAAGACAGAGGCTCAAACAAGACATGATGGTGGTAGTCCCATTTGATTAGATCTGGGTTTGGCCCAGCCACATATGAAAGGTGTGCCTGATCTGAAGAATGGCATGCAGTTAAGAGATGCTGAATCCTCTCTCTTGGCACTGCTTATGTCACTGTGGTGCATTGCCCCAGACAATTCTCTCTTGGAAAAAGGCATCTGAATGTTACATGTTAGAGAAGCTGGGTTCAGCTCTCCTCACTCACGTTGCCCCTTTGCTCTTAAAAGTGCCTCTAAGTACTTGCCAGAGTTGACCCTGCTTAGCTTCCAAGATCTGATGAGACCGGGCTTGCCTGGGGTATCCAGGTCAGGGCTTCAACACAGATATCTAATTAGCAGTATGACCATGCTCAAAACTAAGGATGATAAGAGCTGTAGCCAGTGTCAAACCACCATTATTTCAACTATGCTAAAATGCAGATCTGCTGAAAAACTGTTGACATCAGTTATGATATTCTCAGTTCTCTGTATCCTTTTAGGATTCCCAGAACATGGTAACAGTCTGCTTGTCCTACGACAGCGAACAAGTTTCCATTCTTCTATTAGTTCAGGCATATAAAATGCCAGTAGTGTACTTGGCAGTGTACAAGGCACAGGTTCTACTTTGACTCCTTATCAAGCTGTGAGGAAGTTAAAATTCTAGGGAAATCTACAAATCCAAGGTTAGAGGGTTACTGAGTTCACAAGAATGCTTGCTTAGAGAACTGTACACTTGTCCTGCTAATAACCGAATGAAAATGGAAATGAGAGATTCAAGATAAATAAAAGTAGCATGTATGTATTTTTAGTAAAGAATTGCTCTTAATTTTTAAAATAAGCTCTATTTTAAAAAACCACACAAGTTTTTTTGCCATAGAGATAATAATAATAATTGTTCTTTAAGGTGTCAAAAGCCTCCTACTTCTACAGGCTTTTTAAGGACATCTAACCAATAATGTATCTTGCATCCATTTGCCTCTAAATCCATACGCTTATTTTTTCACTAAAGGGGGAGGGGGGGAGAAATACTAAATTTTCAAATGCACTCCTCCATTCTCACATGATACACACCTTTGCACTAAGGTTCTCCTTTCATTTTTATTTAGGTAGTGGAAGTTCCTGGAGAACACCTTGCCTACGAAGTTCCTTAAACTAGCATTAAATAAATACTTGTCAAACTGGAATTTAAGTGCAATTATATCCTGAAGGAAAATAGATCTATGAGTAATTAATTCAAATAAAATTTTTTAGTGCTGGGCTTATGGGGATGCAGACAGGCTAAGTATATGCAGAGACCTGGAGGCGACAGTTGAATTCTAATTTGCGAATGTTTAATATGACTTTTTCAACCCCACAACAGTGATTAAACACATATTTAACCATTCTAGTTCCAAGATCAAAGGAAACGGCCCAGTAAGTGATGAACACATTTTCACATTTGCTTTGCTACTACAAGATCTCTCTCTCTCTCTCTCTCTCTCTCTCTCTCTCTCTCTCTCTCTCTCTCTCTCACACACACACACACACACACACACACACACACACACACACACACAGAGAGACACCACCACCACTTGCCTTCACTCATATATACATATTGCAGCTTCGGGGCTGAATAACAATATGTCTTTTCTTTATGTGTCACTGATGTTTGATGGCCTATCTATAATCGGGGCTGTGCGCACTCTGCACAAAGCACGTCTGGTGAAAACACCCCACACAACAAAATGAGAATTCTACAACTGGGGTAAAAGTTACGCATACATGCATATATTTTGCTTACGTCATGGGCTACAGTCTGCTTCTCCTGGTAACATAGTAGATGAGAAGGAATGCAGAATGCTAAAACACCTTTAGAAGTTCTTGCTAAAACATCCTTAGAAGTCTTGCTTAATCCCACTCTGGCTCCTCTGGTTTCACAAGGCTCTGGCAATCTATTTTCAAGCTTACCTGAATGTTCATAAGGACTAGAGCACTGTTTTCCCCCAAAGGGATAGTAAAACACAAATGAACATTGAAGTCTATGCCAGCTGCAAAATTACACACTTATGGGATATAAACAGCCCTTCCTGGGACTTGGAACCTTTCCCACCTCTGGGAGATGCAGCATTACAGAGCCCAATCACAAACTTCTGGCACTGATGGGCCAACATACTATATCAAAAGGTCAACCAGCTGGGAACAATGAACCTACCTCGCTGCAAGAGTGGGTTGAGTTGATATGTAGAAGACTGAGAGTGATGCTTCATCCACGGCAGAAGCTGCTGAGCCTGTTTCATGAAGTAGTGACGCTCCAGTACTAGAGGAAGGAAAAAGCAATAGATTTCATATCTGCCTTACATTCAAGTGCTCCCTGTTTGGGATTTTGTAGAGTCATCTCTACAAGATAGCAAGAGCAAATAACAGTGATGGCCAGATTCCCCTGGCTGTTATTTGGGAAGGGACTGTGGCTCAGTGGAAGGGCCTCTGCTTTGCATGCTCAAGGCCTCAGGTTTAGTCCCTGGCATCTCCAGTAAAAAAAGAACCAGGCAGTAGATGGTGTAAAAGACCTCTTCCTGACATCTTGGAGAGCCGCTGCCAGTCTGAGTAGACAAAATGGAGATGGATGGACTGGTGGTCTGATTCAGTACAAAGCAGCTTCACATGTGTTCATATGTGCTCAGTCCACAACAAATAACACCACAGATGATACATGTTGCCACACTTGCCACATGAAGAAACTTGTATTGTTTTTTACTTTGAGTAATGATTCAGAGCTGCACAAATCCAATGTAGAGCTGCACATTGTATATAGAACTACACGTTGGGAAGCCTCTTGTCAAATTCTCCCTGCAATGCCCAGGACAGCAGCATCTCAGCCGCTTTGGATAACGATTCCCTGTTCTTTAATAAGCCATTCATCACTGAAAAGATCCTGATCTACATATACGCAGTCAGCTCTCCATGTGGAAATGTAGTAGATCCTCTCCCTAGGGCTGGAGGTACTACCTTCTCTAGCTTCAGATGTGTAGCCAGAGTTCCTTGACATCCTAACCTTAACATTTAATATAACCTGAGGAGTCTCTACTTCAACACATCTGAATTGTACACAGCCTGTTGTGAGGAAGCCAGAACTTGTGAGGAAGCCAGAACATTACTAGGCAGAAAGGAATGAAGACAGGGAGCAGCAAGAAAAAGCATGATTATATTATTGTGCTTGTATTTCCCAGATCTGTGCATATAGGTGACAATACATCCAGGTATGTTTATTAACTGGATGCGTGTACATGTTAGTTCAAAACTCCTATGTGTAACTGAAGCAGAGAAATGTCAAGGTAGCTTGTTGGTCACTGAAATGTGTATGTAAGCAACCTAGACAGAGTACATTTTTTTGGAAGCGGGGGGGGAAATCAGTGCATAGAGTAGGAAACCTGCTTGCAACTTTACCTTTCTCATTGCAACAACAGCGGTCTGGACAGCAGGGACAGCGGACATGGCAACAGCAATTCTGAGGACAGCACTGGCACCAGCACACCGCAATCAGTAGTAGTAGCAGAAGGCCACCCAGGACAATCAATATCACAGTCAGCCAATCTGATTGTAAGGAGAGAGGGACCATAAAAAGGCTGCTTTACTTCTGGCTACGTATTTACAGATCAGGTTCCTCCCCAACCCATCCCCAAGAAACTTCTTCCTCCAAATCAAACATAGACCCAAGTCCTGTCTTTAGGTTTATCATCAAGAAGATACACAAAGGAGTGAGGAGGGAGGCAAGACCAGATTGACTGTGCCAGAACAAAAGAACTCATTTATTAACAGGCATTCACATCAGTTTTGGCCAGGCTGTTCTTCCGTTGCTGTCATGGAACATGTGGTTGGCATTGCCAGTGATATGCCCTACTGCTCATCTCTGCATTCGAAAGGCAACTGGTAGTAAGTTCAAAACATAACGGGGAAACCATGTTTGTTTTTAGAAAAACTGCGGTTAGTGAAACCAGGATTTGACACACAGGCAACCAGTGAATCTTGGCTTGTCTTGAAAAATCCTGTCTTCAACACTGTCATCTTACCCCGATGAAGACACGGCGAGTATCCCAGCCTGCACACCCACCACCTGTTAGACTTGTATAGACTATGGGCCAAGCTAGAAGAGATCCTCATGTCCGGCACAGAGCTATTGCCATTTTACTGTGATTTTAAAATGCTGCAATTCTGATCGGGCCTGCAGTATGGCAAGCTAAGGTGCTTTTGTTTGCCTCCCCTGCACTTTTTCAAGTGCCAAAACATATCTGTGTGGTACGCATGTGTGCCACTTCAGTACTTGAAACAAGAGTAGCTCAGCCTGCCACACTACGGACCCAGACAGGGTTCTACAGGCCTTTTTAAATCACTTTAGAATGGCAGCGGCAGCCCTGTGGCTAGCTTGGCCCTAAGGCTACAAATCTTCACCTTACTTATTAGAAAGCAAACCCTACGGAATTCAGTGGAACAGACTTCTGAGGCTCAGAACATGTCCTCTTATGGACTACATTCTTTAATCTCTAAAGAAAGCAGAAGAGAAATTTATCCTAACAGGAAAGAAAACAAAATATCACTACGTACGCAAAACAATAAGCTTCACTTCTTTATCCGGGTCACCAGTTGTATCTCCTGGAGCCTCAATAGCACAATAATAGACTCCATTGTCCCACCACATCACCTCGTTGATCACAAGATCTGCACCTATGGAGGAGGAATACAGTATAATAAACACTGCAGAAGTTCTTAAATTGCAAAAAGAGTTGTCTGGGAACAGAACTGGGAGAGTTCTAGAATGGTGCCATCCTTGACCTCTGCAAGATACAGGATTATACAACATGAAGCAATTTTCTCTCCCCTAGTATTGAAAGTAACAGAAACCCCCACTCCTAACGTACATACATATTGGGCCAACAAACAGGGAACAAAGAGCAAAGCCTTGTCCTAATGTTACATCTTAGAATTGCTATTCAGGTGTTTACTGCCTCTGGATCTGGAGATTTTCTTTAGTCATCATGGCAAGTAATAATGACACGGTCCCTTCAACACAGATATTACTCTTTTCCCAGGATAGCATGAAATCTTTTCAGTAACATTAGCCCTGAAAGCCGTGAAGCCATAAATTGGGATTCCAACTTTTTCACACAAGATGTTGGGCAGTCATTAAAATAGTGTATCCTCATTTCTTTAATATCTTGTTGATGACTCACGGTTTTGGATTGTGATCTTCCGCTGCCGGTAATCAATGCCCAGCACAGGCTCATTCTGTCCTCTTTTCTGAGCTACGATGCGCACTTCCCGTTGATTGTCATTACAGTCATTGGAAGGATCCTGGCCAATAGCTAGGCCAGCCTGATAGGCTGCAAAAACAACATCCAAATGCAAAGTGAATACTGGTTTATTTATAGCCCCTCTGAGTATGCAAAATATTCACATCGTACCAGCTCTTAAACAAGCTGAAAAAGATCACACGTGGTATGAACAAAACGTTAACAATGCTGGCCATAAAAAATTGGGAAGAGATGCATAGAACAGAAAATCATGAAAACATAAATCGCTTCCAAGTTCCGTTAGTTTGTAAGCTTTTGCATTTTCCTTCAGAGAGGCAAGGCCTCAGTCCAGTAGCACTTTAAATATTAACAAAATGTACTCCAGTAGAAAATTTTGGGATGCAGATTCATAAGATGCATAGGAGGCCCATTTATACACACAACAGAAAGGATATTATTAGACAGGCAAAATTAAAAACCTAATATAGGATGAAAAGATATAAAACAAATATAACAGGAAGTTATGGTGCTAGAGCTGAAGTGCTAATTATTCCTATTGTATCAGCTTTTCTCTTTTCATTGTGCACTAACTTTTACAGAGTGTCTATCTGACAACAGCTGGGAGTTCCCCACTCATTTTCTTTCTTTCTTTTTTTGTTTAAAGTTTTTATTATTTTTTGTTAATAACATAAACTTTACATACATCAAATACTTTTTGCACTCATTTTGAGTGAACTGATCACACTTTAGATTGGATCTTTTTTTAAAGCAGCCTGTCTTTGTAACATCTTCCCCCTTCCTGTTTGATGGATTTAAACATCTGTGCATCTGTGATGGACTGTCAAGGGTTAATGCGTAACAGAGTCTGATAACCTTTGAGTGATAAGCTATCTGAACAGAATTCTGCTGAGAGAGTCAATTAAGGAATGACAGTCGGGAACTGAACAGCTGAAGAAGAGACAGTTAAGCACTGACTGTGGACTGGGAAGGAGGCTAAGAGAGTGAGTGAATCAAGGAGGATCCTCATTCAAGGCAAAAAAGGGAAATAGCTTCTATAAAGAAAAGTGATCTCTGTACAGTCACAAGGAGAAAAAGCTCTTGAAGGGTGATCCATGACGTGTATAAAGAAGGATTTTGGGAACTTGGTTGTATGTTCCTGCCTTCTAAATTTTATGTTGGTGAAACTCAGAAACTTATGCTTGAGTGTTTAAGCATAAGCTGAAACAAAAGCCTCTCTCCTCAAAGTTTTAAAGACCTTGTTGAATAGCAGAAACAGTTAGGTAAAGGTTTCCCTTGCTTGAAAGCCAGTCGAATCTGACTCTAGGGTTGTAGTGCTCATCTCCCTTTCCAAGCTGAAGAGCCAGCGCTGTCTGAAGACGTTTCTGTGGTCATGTGGCCGGCATGACTAAATGCCAAGGCGCATGGAACACTGTCACCTTCCCACTGAAGCGGTACCTATTTATCTACTTGCAATTTCTTGCTTTCGAACTGCTAGGTTGGCAGGAGCTGGAACCAGAGATGGGCGCTCACTCCATCATGCGGCACTTGGGTCTCGAACTGCTGAACAACAGACCTTCCAGCCTGCAGTTCAGCATCTTAACCACTTGAGCCACCGCAGTTCCAGCAGAAACAGTTACTTGTTGGCAAAAACATTATCTGGTGTTTGTGTGAATACAAAGTTACCTTAGTTTTACTATTTATTCACCTCATACACCTTACACCTGATTCCACCTAACCTTTTCTCCACCAAATTAAATAAAACATTTTGTTTATTTGGAACTTTCAAAAGCCTCTTGTGTGCGATTTCAATAGCAGAATACAGGAAGGTGATTTTGTCCCCTCAGTACCCGGGGCTGGGTCAGCATCCATCCATAGGTAAAAGGGCAGCTCAGCAAGAAAGAAGACAGAGTGGGAAATCCTGCATGTAAAGGAGGGAAGAGGGCGAGATTGTCATAGCACCTAACAAAGTGAGCTCTGAATTATGAAAGCATATGCTGGAATACATTTTTTCCAGTGCAATCCTAAACAGAGTTACACTGTTCTAAGCACACTGATTTTATCAGACTTAAAAGGGTGCAATTCTTCTTAGGATTGCACTGGTAAATCTTCCAGGTGTCCTGACCTCTTGTTTTATTCTGCTGATACAAGCTAACACAGCTACCCATCTGGAATTAAGATCTCACACTGTGTTGCGTACACCTTAACCTGCACAAACCCATATTCTTCTTTGGCCTTTAGGTTCCAATTGTCTCCCTCTTTAAGTTGACGGGAACACCAGGGTTAGAAGGGGAAGGAGAGAAAATAAACTGTGGGGGGCGGGGCGGAGATTAAAAAAGTTTGGCTGGCCAGCAGGGGTCATTTCGTAGAAAAAGAGCTAGGGGAACTCATTAGCATATGCCACACCCCCTGACATCACCGGAAGTGTGTCATAAGGCCACACACCCCTCCCCCAATGGTCCTGGCCGCTGCCGGCAGCCTTGCAGCTCCACTGCCGAGCCCCATGAGGGGCCCGGTGGCGGGAGTGCAAGGAAGCCCTGTGAAGGCCCTCCCTGGCCCCATACAGGCAGGGGTGGGGAGAGGCAGGGAGGAAGCAACTTACCCTCCCTCTTCTCCTGCCTCCTCCTGGCTGAATGAGGGCCAGAAGCGAGCGGCCAGAAGCAGGGGGCGGGGCTTCGTCATGTGCCCCGCCCTCCGTACCTCACCCGGGGGAACTGCGATCCCCCCTGAAATGACCTCTGCTGGCCAGCCAAAACTTGTGGTTGCCAAGGGCCATGCTCCTCTTCCAAAAGTGAGGGCAGAATATCATCTCTAACATCATGGTGAGTAGAGGAGCACAAGAAGAAAGAGGAAGCAACTGAAGAGAGCAGTACATGTCTATAAAATGGTTTTAATCCTATCAGTGTGAGCATACATCACTCTTTGTCCTGATCATGTTTTCAGCATTTTGCCAACGTAATCTTGTATATGTTGTTGAACCTTTTAGGCATCAAACAATACCACTATAAGATTTCATACTGATTCTTTAAAAAGTTAAAATAAGAAGATCCCATAGGTACATGTGAAAGCATATATTTCTCCTTTCCCTCTGACAACTGGGACCCTGAAACAGCATTTCCTTTGTTTCTGAGTTTGTATAAAATCTTACAAGACATGACAGAACAACTGGATAACAATTCTGACAAGATAGTTATAGCCCTCCATATACAGCTTTTCCAAGTTAGTTCTTATTTTAATACTTCAAATCTCTTGTCCCACTCATGCTCCCTGTTAAAAGTATTAAAGCCAAAGTGGAGAATCCCTGAAAGTGGGAAAAGGTTGAATTCTCTAGTTGCATGCATTTCAATAACACTGAAGTTATCAAATGATAAATAAAAGGCACTAACAGCTGTTTGCTAGAATGCAGTCTTACAGTTCTAAGTCTACCAGTTCTGATTCAAAGGAGGGAAGGAATCAACACCAGACTTTTACTTATTTAAATTAATTCGTATCCACTTGTCCAGAAAACTGCTGGATTTCAAACACAAAACATTTTTTAAAAAGACTACACAGCCAAACAGTACTAAATCATAAAACAAGATGATTAAAAAAAAAAGCAAAAAAGAAGACAAAGTAAAAGTGAGTTTAAAATCTATAAAACACTGTCAGTCATAAAAAAAAACAGCTAGAGATTATACATGGCCAGGAAAACAATTCAATAAAACCGCGGGCAAATAATATGTCCTTTACCTGAAGCTTAAGCAACAGGTGAATTGCAAGGGGAAAGCATTCCATAGACAGAATCTCACTACTGAAAAGCTGTATTTCTGCTTGTAACCAACCTAGAGATGTCCAACTTCCCGAAATTTCGAAGCCACACGAAAAAAAAACCACAGGGTTTTTTTGGTTTGTTTTTTTGGAAAATTAAGTGTTACGAAAGCCTTAAGAGAAAATTACAAGCTGATGCACCTTGTGCTACCCTAGCACATGGACATAATTTTTACTTGTCTTTTTAGCAAGAGTGAAGTTCTCAGAAAAACATTTCAGTTCTTGTCTGAGGCTTCGGTGTAGTTGCTACTGTACCTCCTTCTGATTTTTTTTTCACCCTCTTGCAAGGTAGGACAATAAGCTACTTTATAACCTAGTCTGTGGGTAAATGTGTCACAGTGGTTTGAGAGAGAGGCTGAAAAGGTCAGCCACATCAGGTCAATTGTGTACCTTTCCCACTTGGTCAGAAAAATTCGAAGCAGCCAGGAGCCAGTAGTGATAAAATAGTACACACAATTGAACCATTACTATATGAAAGTGTACCTGACCATGAAAGCAAAGTATCAAGAATGAGCCCTCTGATTAATATCTTTGCTTTTGATCACAGACAATAATCATCAAACCATTTCATCTTGATGAATTCATAAGAAATTACTGTTGCACTGTAACATCAGCAGCCATTCTGTAATACCATCTGTTTGACCACCGAGGAAGGCCAATGGGCCGAAACATGTATGGTTAGGGTCAATAATGGTCATTTTTGGTTGTCATCATACAATTTGATTCTTAATTGAGGCTGTCACGAGGGCCAATATCTGTTTCTTAATTTACTATGTAATAAATACATGTATATTTTTGTATATCTGTCAATATTTAATGTTTTTAACTTGACTAACATAATTATTGAACCTATATACTTTGTTCTTCTTAACCTTTTTTGTTCTTCCATCTACAGCATGCCTACCTGGTCTTTAAAAGCATTCACTCTTTCTAAAAGAGAAAATATTTCATAGCAGTTTTATCAGTACTCCCTCACATTCCCAATTTTTCTGTCAGAAAAATGGGGGGAAGGGCCTTGGAGAAAAATGGAAAGTAAGCCCAGTTTCTTTCCAACATTTTCCAGCTTGTCACATCTCTATACCCACCTCACCTCCAGGTGGGTGGGGGGAACGCACAGGACACTGCTTGAGATGAAGATGTGTCAGATTTGGCGAAAGATTAAAGAGTTCTCTTGCCTGGGGAGCACCCTTCCTCCTGCCGCTCTTTGTAGAGGATGCTCCTTAATAACACCATTTGCTAGAACTCACCAACAGAATAATAATCAAAGATGGGATCCTTGCAAAAGGACTTAAAGCGCCAGGTAACTAGCACATCCTGTAGCTGTCCAGAGGTGCTGTAGTCACACCTGAGAGTCACAGAAGCAAATAAAGTTGTATAACGCTCAGTATCTGGCACAGTCACCAAAACGGAGAAACAGCCTGCAATGAAGAACACAAGAAAACAGTTTTCAATATACTTTAAAGTGGCATGAAATTCTACCCTTTGGGAAATATTTGCCAGCAGTCCCCAAACCCAGCAAGGATGCACAGTATTCATAGTAGTAAAAGAAGAATGAGTTAAATGCAACTTTCAAAAGGGCTGGAACATCACTTTGGTTATGATTACTGGCTAGCACTTTGCAGGGTGTCTAGCGGTAGGTGATGGGGGGAAGGGAAGCAAACCTGACAGCTGCTGGGCAACCCGTCTGCCTGTCCCCAGACTGCTGTCTTACATATCTGGATTGACAAGGCATTGGAAGACAAAGTCAGTGCCAAAGTCAGAAACATAAGCTGTCAAAGGAAGGGAAAGAATGCACAGAGACGGGCCTTATCCAGGATGTCCTAATGGTTAGGAAAAGCCCCAGCTTTGTGTTCCCTCACACTGTGATACCGAAGTGTAATAATTTCAAAACACAGGGCAAGCAGCTTCTCCAGGCTGCCAGGGCGGTAGCAAGTCTATGTTTAGAAACCATACCTGCTACAACTAAGAACATTCATATTTAGCCCAGCTAGGCCTGTATAATTTGTTTTACTCTAACAAAACTACTCAGATTCATACATTCAAAGCAAGGTGACACCCCAAATAAATGCAAGCCCAGGATGAAATGGGATAGGACGTTATAGAGGTACACAACTTCCTCCTGTATTTGTTTATTTCATTTTATTCCACGTCAGAGGTCATTTCGGGGGGGAACGCGGGGGAACACAGTTCCCCCGGGTGAGGTGCAGGGGGCGGGGCACATGACGAAGCCCCGCCCCCTGCTTCCGGCCGCCCCGCTTCCAGCCCTCATTCAGCCAGGAGGAAGCAGGAGAAGAGGGAGGGTAAGTTACTTCCTCCCCGCCTCTCCCCACCCCTGCCTGCCTGGGGCCAGGGAGGGCCTTGGCGGGGCTTCCTCACACTCCCGCCAGCCTTGCAGGCCCACCGCCAGGCCCCTGATGTGAGGGGGTATGGCATATGCTAATGAGTTATGCTAATGAGTTCCCCTAGCTCTTTTTCTACGAAATGACCCCTGTTCCACGTTAGGTTTTATATTTTGCCTGTCTAACTACCACTGGGAGCGTCTCACAGCTATTCAGAGAGTGAACTGATTGCTCTTTTAGATTGGATCTTCTTTTGAACCAGCCTTCTTATAACTCCCACCCATTTCCTTTGTGCCTATAAATTGGCCTGATTTATACTCCTATACTCCTGATGAAGTAAATTCTGACTCACATAAGTCTCTCCTGGAATAAATTGTTAGTTGTTAAAATGCCATTGGATGCCTATTTTATTCTGCTCATACAGATTAACATGGCTCACCATATGGAATCGAATTTAGACAAGCTTGTATTTTATTGACTTTTTTGTCTTACTGGTAATGGTGTGTGTGTGTAAATATGAGATGTATTAAATTTGGCTCCAGAACAAGTATGGCCTGACACATTTAAATAAGTTTAAGCACACATTATGGCAGCTGTACTATTGTGTTTCCTTATCATGGATAAACAAGATAACACAAAAAAGTGATAACGGTATTACCACCACCAAAGATAGCCATACCACTTGAGATAACATAATATAAACATGTGTTGCACTGGGCAGGCAGAATAGCTCAGATGAACCACACCTGGTAGGAACTGCCTTTAATTGTAATCCACCCACAAAGGAAAAAATAGGTAGAGATTTTAAGTAAGGTGAGTATATTGGTTACCCCCCCTTGCCCCTTAAGAACCTCTTTTGTTTATAGTGCAACAAAACCAGACAGTTTAGGAAACAAATATGTCATCTCTTGGCAATTTTACCTCTGTGGATTCAAATTAAATTGTTTTAATTAGTATTTCTTAGATGAATACACTAGAGAGGTTACAGGAAAATATAGCAGAGTTGAACAGGTTGCCAGTCACATTCCTTTAACCCTATGGAAGGATGGTGGCTCAGTGAAAGAACTGGAAGTCCCTCCCATTAGCAATCTGAGATCAAAGAAATAGCAGCAGAACAGACAAGAGAAAGGGTACAGAAGGAATTGACCTGTCAGCCTTACTAGCTCTACTTCCTCCTCTATAATTTTTGTATACTTGGTGCAAAGAGACCTTGCTCTGTCCTTCACCTTCCAACACAAGGTGCATGAGCTTTGACAGAGGAGTGGTCCTCATCCCCCCCCCCCATTTGCAGATGGGATGTGTATGTGGAAAATGTTTTGAATAACTCTTAAAGAACCATCTTGAAGACTGCATCTCCAGGTCCCTTGGAATAGAATTTGATCTCAAAAGTCTTCAAAAGCAGAGGGGAACCTGATTCAATTGCAAAATTTGATTGCATCAGATTTTGCAATAATCTCTACTATGTACTATGAATTACACTGTTATTCACAAAGCATGTTAACAGAGAAGGTATCATTAGGTAATGAGATGATGTGTCCTGTATTTTATATAGGTTTCTCTGATTTTTCTGTTTTTCTGCTTTTACAGAGCTCCCTTCAGGGGGGCAGGGGGGGGTTCAAGCCCCCCTCCAGCATTTCCCAGTGGGGGTAATGCCCTCTCCAGGCTGCCAGGTAGCATCATGATGGGCTCAGGCTATCATTCAGTTACTCTTGTCTGTCTTTGTGGCAACTTAGCAAGTTCAGAGGAGGCACAGGGCTGGTTTTGTTTGTTTTTGTGAAAGGGGGGGCTTTCAGGTGATAATAATGTCTGTGAAGAAACAACAAAGAGAGAGAAAGAGGCAGGAGGGGAGGATTAACAGAACTGGTTAAAACCATGTAGCAATAAGAAGGCTGTAGTAGTTGGATGGAAGAATGTTCTTCCTGTAGCCTGAAACACAAACTCTAATGTAAGTAATGGATCAAGAGAATTATGGTTTGCCTTCTCAGATGGGACAGTAATAATTGTAATATCACTGTGTCCTGGTGGGCCCTGCCTTAGACAAATAAATGGTCCAATTTCTATTTTATCTTTAGCTACAGGTAGGGGTAGAAGAACTGGTTCCCCAGAGGTGGCAAGGTTATTCTACTACCTAGAACCGCCTTTAAATACACAAATATTTCTATCCCCATTCTATATTTAGCCTGATGTGTTTGGGGGCTGCAAAAGCATGTTGCCCAAATATTGGAAGTTGTGTACTGGGAGCTGAGCTGAAGACTGTGGCCCAAATGGTGAAAAGTAAGTTGATTTTGGTATCCTGGGATCTGCTTTAGAGAAAAATAAATCGAGAACATGGGAATATTTCTGTCTTCAGCTATATTTGTTCATCTCTGTGTCTGTAGATGGGGGCAGGGATATAAAGCTGGTTCCCCAAATACGGAAACTGAGATAATTCTGCTGTCCTAGACCATACTTCTACTAAACAAATGCTCCCATATTTTCAGGCCAGGGTATCTGAGAAGCCAGTATTTACTCTGGGTTCTGAAATTCATGTGGACAGTCATACTGAGCATCCAGTCCGTGAACAACATATTTGTCAGTGTTGATCTCAGATTGGGTAAATTAGAGTTCAAATCCCCACTTAGCCATAAAATTCACTAGGTGACCTTGGACCAGTCACACACTCTCAGTCTAACACGCCTCATAGGGTGGTTGTGAGGAAAAGAGGGGGGGGGGAGAGAAGAACTATTCATTTTCATACACAAATGAAATATTTGCCTCAGTGAAAGAATTTATGACATCTTTCCTCTCATGTTTCATAGACCTCTTTCTTTAATTGAGATTCAGACTATTGCAAGTGAAAAATATATATATATTAAAACCACATGATTACTAGCAGGTAGTTTTTGGAAATATAAATTTAATATCAAAATAATTTAATACGGATTACTGGGCACTGTGCCCCACCTGAAGAGACCGAGGAGTCTACATTCCTGAGCACAGCAGCAATTAACATGATTCTGGGATTTTAATATTTTTGTAAATATTAATATTTTAGGATTTTAGGATGACCTGGATGGCCCAGGCTAGCCCAATCTCGTTAGATCTTAAAAGCTAAGGAGGGTTGGCCGTGGTTAGTATTTGGATGAGAAATCTGCAAGGAAGCCAAGGTTTGCTATACAGAGGCAAGCAATGGCAATCCACCTCTGAACATCTCTTGCCTAGAAAACCATAAGTCAGCTGTGACTTTATGACATAAAAAATAAAAATGACTGGAATGCAAAAGACTGCAGTTTCTCTTATTAGACATCTGATTTCACTAGCGATCACATTTTATTTGTAAATCCCTGGTTTAGTGACATTATCACTGGTAATATACACAATGCTCAGTGTTCCCTTGAAGGTGAGCTATTGCGCTGTGGCGCACCCATTTTTACCCCTCAGTGCAGAGATCATTATCTCACTACAGGGGTTCTTTCTCTGTGGGTGTAGCCCCACCCTCCTGCTCAACCAGTGCCTATGGGCCCTATAAAAGGGGATGTTGGCAGTGGCATCCAGCATCCCTCCTTCCGTCATGTGGCTGTTGTCCTGCTCCCTGCCCCATCGCCATCTTCCTCCCGCCAATGCTGCTGCAGCCAGCTGTCAGCAAGCTGCCAAGTGTTTTTCTGTTTCCCTTTCATGCGCATTCCTTCCCTTGCACTTAATTGCCTCGCTGCAGCAACGCGCATCTTTCAAGGCCGCTGGAGGAGTTGCTGGAGAAGTTGCTTTGGCTTTCCCTAGGATGAGTCGTGAGAAGCTTTACCTGTTATGTTTATTGTAGCCGTTTGTTCTCATGCCTAATGCCCGCGCGCAGGAACCCCAGTAATTGGGTCTTGCTGATTTGAATGTACTATAACCTGTCATGCACTTAGATCACCCGCCATTCCTAACAGTGTTCCTGTCTACGCATCTATAGCTTCACCTTCTAAGAAGTGTGTGCTTCGTTGTTGCTGTGGGTCCTGACACCAGCCTGCCTGCAAGGCTGCACAAAGCAAGGTGAGTTGCCACCCCCCCCCAACTGATCTGGCATGGTCAGAGGTGGCTGCTGGCTCCTGGCCTCACTGTGGGAGGCCCAGGAAATGATTGAATCTGAGGCAGGGGTGAGTGCTGGGGGGGACTGCTGCAGCGGCTCCCAAGCCTTTCCTCCTCCATGGCAAATCCTTCATGGCTGGAAGCCAGCCCCCCTGCCTGGACTCCACAGTAGGAAGGAAACTATGCAATGGCCACCAGACTCCTGACCTCGCCACAAGAGGCCACGGAAACGACTGAGGCAGGGGTTAGGGGTGGGAGGGTATGGCCACTGCAGCTCCTATCAAGCCTCTCCTCCCCCCACCACACCCCAGGAAATATGCAGATCTTGGTGCCAGGCCCTGAGCAGGCCAGCAGAGAGAATGCTCTGGGAGGCAGTTTCTTCCCCAGTGTGTGCCGGGCAGAGCCCAAGCCTAGGGCACTCGTAGGAGTGGCCAGTTGCAGGAAGATTCCCTCTCTCTCTTTTTTCTCTCTCCCACTTTCTTATCCTCCCTTCCTCCCTCCCTTTCACTCCTCTCTCCCCATCTATTTGCTTGCTTTCCACCTCTCTCTCTCTCCTCTCCCCATCTTTTCGCTTCTTTCCTTTCTTTTCTTTCTTCCTGTTTTTTTAAATGTAAGCTCACTCACAACTTTAATCCTAGTAGGTCTTTTAGCTACTTTTAGTAGAATTTTGACTCATAAGACTCCACTGCTTAGAGGGAACATTGTCAAGGCTGCCTCCTAATATTTACCTAGCTCCCCATCCAAGTACCTCAACCTTTTCCAGGTTCAATCTCTGGCATCTCCAGTTAAAAAGTTCAGGTAGCAGCCAGCAGATGATGTAAAAGGCATCTGCCCAAGATCCTGGAGTACCACTGACAAGTCAGAGCACTCAACACTGGCCTTGATAGACCAGCCTCATCTCCCTTATAAATAAAAGCTGAATGGTGGTGGCACTTCTCTAGAACATTCCACACACTCCGAAATTGGTTGGCGCCCTGGTGTGTCACTCACAGTGCGTCTCTCTCCATTTGCTGTGCTGCCACCTGTGTGGGTGTCCTCCCGCCCACGGAGGCAGCGACCACCCTTTTGCCCTCAGTTTCCTTCGAGCCGCGGCCTGGGTGCTCCACTGGCCAGACCCCCTCACTCGGCTTACAGGCCCCAGATGGGGCCATGCCACCGCTGCTGAGCCGCGGCAGCCAGGAGCCGCCACCAGCCAAGAGGAGGCCCAGGCCGACATGTGCTAACTCTGCCCAGCCGCCTGGAAAGGAACCGGGGGTGGCCCGTTCCCTCGCGCCTCCCCTGTGCGGTCTGTGGATGAGGGGAGATGGTGCCATGCCACCGCGCCTGAGGCCGGCCAGGGAGCCAGGCCCAGCCTATCCCGTCACCCCATAGTGGCGGGGACGGACGAGGCCAGGTGGCTTGGCCTGCCAGGGCCTCGAGTGTGTGGAGGGAGGGCCGAGGAGAGGGGTCCAGGAAAGGAGACGCGGGCCCGCAGCCGGCCACCCGAGCTGCCACCCATTGCAGGGAGAGGAACGAACCTGGTCCACTTGCCCCGCCGAGGCCTCGCTTGGTGGGGGTGGCGCCGAGGCCTCGACCCCGTGGGGGGGGGAGTGTGGAGTGCTTCCCCAAGGGGGGGGGGCGGGAAGTGGATGGCGCCCTGCACCTGACTGGCCTCACGGCCATTGCGGGGAGAGGGGCGAGCCTGTCTGACTTACCCCGCCAGCACCTCGATCGGGCAGGGATGCCGGGGGGATAAACGAGGGCAGGCGGCTTGACCCGCCAGAGCCTCGACTGCACGGCAGGAGGGCAGAGGACAGGGGGCTGGGAAAGGAGACGCGGTCCCGCAGCCGCCCGCCTGAGCTGCCTTCCATTACAGGGAGATGGACGAGCCCAGTCCGCTTGCCCCGATGGGGCCTCGCTCGCCAGGGATGGCATCAGGAGCGGCCAACCCAGGCACCTTACCCGCCGGGGCCTTGACCCTGTGGGGGAAAGTACGGGCTGCTTCCCCGGGTGGGAAGTGGATGGCACCCTGTGCCCGGCTTGCACCCATTGCGGGGAGAGGGGCGAGCCTAGCCGGCTTCCCCCACCGGCGCCTCAATCGGGCGGGGCCAGGCGCCTTGGCCTGCCGAAGCCTCGACCGTGCGGGGTAGGATGGCCAGCTTCGCCATGGGGGGGACAGGTGGAGACGGTGACCCGCACCCGCGGCCAGGCTAGCGCTCCGTTGTCTTCAGTTCCACAACGGGCATTCTTCCTAGTTCCACATAAAACAGTTTTATAAAAGGAGCAGGATTGTAGTCTATTCTTAGGTTTACTGCATGTTTTGTCCTGCTTTTACTGCATTGCCTTCTGCGTTTGTAATTCCATTTTCTGCTTTGTTTATGGTATCCCAAGCCTGATACTTTTTTATTTTGAATTGCTTTTCTAAGTTTTGCAATTCTGGTCCTAATGCATTTTGTATTGGGTATCTCACACTGCCTGATTGATTTGTTTTATATTGTGCGGCCCGCTTTGAGTCTCAGTGAAGAAAGCAAATAAATGAAATAAATGTTCACATGCCAATATATTAGCCATCAATGAGCTCACTTCATACATCTAAGAACAAGAACGTCTACAGAAGGTCATACACAAATGAGCTCATAAACTACAAATCCCTTAAGTCATGTGGTGGTGGTGGAAAATGCTACCAAGTGACCCCATAGGGTTTTCAAGGCAAGAGACATTCAGAGGTGGCCTGCCATTGCCTGCCTCTGTGCTTTCGGTGTAAGCTTTAATGTATAACCAGAAACACAGGAAGCAGCTCCTGCATAGAAAAGGTAGAATGTGGCACAAGGGATTTAAAAAAATGCCTACATTACTGTACAGCTCCTAACCCGTTAACTTTTTTGGAGCAATCTGGGCAAACTGTCTCCATTTGGACAGGATTTGTTTTTAACACTATAGACAGGGCCGGCCCGAGGCGATGCTGCGCCCTAGGCGAGGCTGCAGGCTGCAGATGCCGACCGCCCCACCGGGAACCCAGTGGCAGGGGGGCCGGGCGCTCGGTCAGCGGTGGTGGCAGCAGCTCCAGCGGCAGGTAAGGAGCACTGCCAAGAGGGAGTAAAGAGCTGCGCGGTCCCGGGGCATGCCAAGGCACAGGGCTGGCTGGCTGAGGCGACAGCAGAAAGAAAGCGCTGCGGCCTCAAGTTTGCGCACTGGGGGGGGAGGATTGTGTGAATCAGCCAGCCACCCAGCCCTCCACCTCGGCGTGCCCTGGGACCATGCGGCCCTTTACCCCCTCTTGGCAGCACTCCTTACCTGCCGCTGGAGCTGCCGCCACCGCCGCTGCCAGAGTGCCCGCGGCGGGAGGAGGTAGGTGGGTAAGGGGGTAAAGGGCTGTGCAGTCCCAGGGCGGAGGGCTGGCTGGCTGGCTTAGGTGCCGGCAGCAGGGCGCACTTACCTCCTGCCTGCCGGTGCCTGCAGCAGCTCCGGCAGCCTTGGCTCCCCTGGCAGGCGGCAGCAAGCGTGACCCTGGCACGGGCTCCTTTTCATGTGCCCACTCTGCCAGCGCCTCTCCCCGCTGGCCATGGGTCGCTGGGTCCGGGCGGGCAGGACATGGAGGGGAGCCTCAGGGATCGGTGCTGGCTTTTGGCGGGGGGAGGCAAACTTCGGTGCCCCCATCTATTTATTTATTTATGTATTTAAGTATTTTTACCCCGCCCTCCCCGCAAGCGGGCTCAGGGCGGCTTACAAGGGGCATAGCTCGGACATAAAATCACATAAAATCCAATAACATTACAATCAACAATAAACAATAAAGTGCTTCCTTTTATCAGGTGGTCTTAAGTTATTAAAAATGATGGCATCATTGTCCAAGAAGTGGTCCGAGCCCGTCCGCCGTACTCATTGCAGCATTCTAGTAGCACTATGTTCAAGGACACTCCCAACTTCGATGTTCTTACCACCGTTGATAGTAGTGGTGGTGGCAGTGGTGGGCCCGCTGCCCCATCCAGGGCCTCCCGCTCTAAGTGAGTGCCTAGTTGGCCTAGCGGGAGAGCCGGCCCTGACTATAGAGGGAAAATGGACTGAAAACCCACAAAAATTACTAATTTGTTGAAGCCAAACACTGATCACATAGACTCAGAAGCAATTCCTATTGAAATTATTCCAATGGGATGGATTTATAACCAACTATATTTAGTTAGAACTGCAACCTTCTCTAAATAGCTACAGCACCTTTTCATCAGTTTTCTACCAGAGATTAACCTGATTAGTCCTTTGAACTTTTCTCTTTACAGAAAATATTTGGGTACAAATCCTGCATCTGATGAAGTGAATTTCTGACTCATAAATGCTTATGGTAGAATAAATTTTGTTTGTCTTTAAGATGCCACTAGTCTCCTGTTTTATTACAATACAAAGTTACTTTGCCTGGTAAAAGATGGGAATTGACTGAAGCAATAGCCTTAGGTAACTTTCACAAATGGAATAGGGTTATAATCCTGAGAACCTTTAATAAGGAAAGTTTGTAAACAGAAACTTGATCTATGGCAAAATTCCAAAATCAACACTAGGTCCAACCAAAACATCACAGAGTAGGAAGCTTTTCAAGTTCCCCATCAAGTTAGGTTTTTCAGAAAAAACAAGCCAAAAAGAGAGAGAAAGAATTTCAATACATACAAGAAACACCTATTTTAGGAATTTACTAGGGAGTAAGTCCTATTCAACACAGTATGATATACTTCCAAAAATACATACAACAGGATGCATAAATCTTCAACAGCAAAATTGCAGCTTTTATTTGGATGTTCAAGTGAAAAAGATCAATGCAGGATAGAAAGTTAAGACAGCTGAATAATATTCAGATTTACATTTTAAATATATTTACCTGGAAGCAACCTACTAAAAGTTCTCACAAGATTTTCTACAAATAAACCATAGAATAGGCACATACTTGATTGCTAGCCTGAAATCTTCCCAGCACAGAAATCCCTCATGAAAGTGAAAAGATTTTACAATTGTCCCCATACGGGTTAAGAAAAGCAAAGCTGGAGGGATTGCCTACCTGCCTGGTTAGCCTGATGAGAAAACCACAGCAACAAAAGCAGGAACAGGTGGGGCAAAATTCAGGTAGGGGGGCACCCACCAGTAGCCAGTCAGACAACAACAACAACAACAACAAAAAGCGAAGTGTTTAGAGGTAGCCACCCCACCCACGACTCACCTGTGGAGAGCCAGGTAAGGCCGAGAAGGAGCACCTGCTGTTCCCATTGCCAGTTCCAGGCCATGGCGCCTCCTCCCATTGCCCGCAGCGCAGCCTCCCTTTAGAGCCTCACCCCACCTCAGGTGCTCTTCCTAGTTGAACAAGATTCCGACCGGGGTGGGGGCTGCTGTTATTTGGCGTCTGCGGTCACCCCTGGGGCAGCTGGCTCTCTTTTTCGGGCAAGGAGCCCCTAAACGCTGCTTGCAGCCCCCGTGAGCTCCTCCGACACCTGTTGCCGCAGCGCTTTTCCATTCCCTCCCGCGGCGGGCGCCCTGCAACTACTCCCCGCAAGGTGCACCGCACCGCCGCCTCCCGGGCAAGCTCCTCCTCTGCTCTCTCGGCCTCGGCTTGCTGCCTGCGGCTCTTCCTCCCACCCGAGGGGGCGCCCTCCATTCTTACTTCAGTTAGAAAGGAAACTTGCCCTGGAGCCGCCGGAGTCTTCCACAGTGAAGATAACGGTTTATTTCAAAACAAGTTTTCCTAAGCCAGCTCCAGCTTGAAGTGTTTGGCTTCTCCAACAGGCCTGGAGAAAAATGTCCTGTTCTTTCAGCGGAACGATTCATGTGGGTAGCCGTGTTGGTATGAAGCCACAGAACAAAATTCGAGTCCAGTGGCACCCTGAAGACCAACAAAGTTTAATTATGGGCATGAGCACACGAAAGCCTATACCTTGAATAAAACTTCTGTTTTATTTATTTATTTATTTATTTATTTATTTGTTGGTGCTATTGGACTCGAATTTTATTCTGTTTCCGTGGAACGGTATTTACCCACACGTCTAGAAAAGCTTCAACTGCTGCCCATTTCCACACATTAATCCTCTATTATAAAAAGGATTATAAAATTATTGAAAGTCAAAGAAGACGGGGACGGCAAAGGATGAACTGTCATAGATGCAACGAACATGAAATTGAGCCAACTTCAGAGGACGGCGGAAAACAGGAGGGCCTGGCGAGATCTTGTCCATGGGGTCGCGAAGAGTCGGACTCGACTGTGCGACTGAACAACAATAAAAAGGGCAGGACATTTTTCTTCAGGCTTGCTGGTAATCCTTTCACGTTTACGTCCATTTCTACCTCTACGACACATCTCCACTTCAGCTATGAAGGCAAAGGGGGGGGGGCAGACATTACAAAGAAAAATCAGTTTAAAAGCAAAGTCCAAATGTACTCTGAAGTAAGTGCTAGTGCGTTCAGCGAGATTTCCTCCCGAGTGTGCATTGCGATTTCAGCCCAGTCCCCCATTGAGAGTTCCACGTCGCAAACTTTGTATAGCCTCAGCCTCCCATTGCTTCTGAAAGTTCTTTCTTAACCATGCATAAACTAGGCACAAACCCGGGTAAATTTAGAACTACACTTCCCAGAAATCTTAGCGCGGCTGGTTGCTCGGCAACCGGCACAAACCGGCTATGGAGCCGAAGGGGGACAACGAGGCGAAAGGTACGAAGTTTTGAACATAGATTTCTTCCTTCTTTACGCCCGTCCACCTTTCAGCCCGTATATTGGGAGGAGCTGCCTCCAGGGAGCCCCCTTCACCACCCAAATTTTCTTTCTCTCTAAAATGGAGCCAATGCACCTTGGACGGCTCGTTTTCAGTTAAGAGGGATCTCAGTCAATGGCCGCAGCAACTGCAGACAACAAGGAGGCTGAGAGGGTCGCTTCAGTCTTTCTCCGAGTCCGAGTATTAGCTGATTACTTTTCCTTTAAAGGAGATCATGATTCCTATGGTTCCTCGCCCGCCCCTCCCCCGCATTTTTGTAAAAAACCATAGCAACACAGGGTTAGGCTGATCAGTAGGACTGGTCCCACGAGTCTCATAATAATGATAACCAGATTCAGGTGGGGTAGCCTTGTTGGTCTGAAGCAGAAGAATAGAGTTTGAGTCCACAGTTTTATTCAAAGTATGAGCTTTTGTGTGCACCCACACTTCTTCAGATACAATGAAATGGTCATTACCAGTCCATACCTATAGGTAGAGGGTGAGCAGCAAATTAGCATACAACATAGTTCGAGGGGGAAACATAGTGAGGGAAATAAATATGTCAAAATTGGAGATTGATGGGCAGATGTATCAATTGTGGAATGCTGAGAGTAATTAACTGAGACCCTGCCATTATGCTCCATCCGTCTCCTCTCAAGAATGGATGCAACCTTACAGCATCTTCTTTGAAGTATGGTGACTGGCTGTGTAGAGTTATCTCTCCTGTCCCTAGACCAGAGGAATATATTCCAGTCAACCATTTCAAATTACATTACATTGCAATTTACTATTCTAATCTACTATTCCAAATATAAAATAAAGAGGATGTATGACCCTTCTGAAGGATTGGTGAGAATACAGATCTAAGGACTGAATGAGATTAGCACATGTAGTGAGATAAGAAACCAATATTCCTGTTAAGTCCTGCTAACATCTTTATGACCGACTTGGAGCAATGCTTCCTAAACTCCCAGCCCACTCATACCTCTCTTATACTTGCGATACATTGATGACATTTTTATTGTCTGGACATATGGTAAAGGAGGCCTGGACACATTCCACCAGGCATTCAATGACTTTCACCCCACCATCAACCTCACAAAGAACCCCACCATCAAGCTGACAATCTATGTAAGAAATACATTTTCTGGGCACTACTGTAAAAATACACAATGGACACATGGATACCACTGTATACCAGAAACCCACTGACCGACAAACATACCTACATGCCTCCAGCTGCCACTCTAAACATACCAAACGATCCATTGTATACAGCCAGGCTCTATGCTATAGCCACATCTGCTCCAATCCTACAGACAGAGATTCTCATCTGAGGGATCTACAACAAACATTTTGGAACTAAGGTATCTACCTGATGAAGTCAAGAAGCAGATTAATAAAGCCAGAATGGTACCCAGAGAAAACCTGTTGCAAGACAGGCCCAAAAGAGACAATAACAGAACACCACTAGTGGTCACATACAGCTGTCAACTCAAAACAGTTGAACGCATCATCAACGACTTCCAACCTCTACCAGATAATGACAGTTCTCTTTCAGAAGTCCTGGGGGCACAAACCATTTCTTGTGCACAGACAGCCCCCCCAATCTCAAACAACTCCTCACCCACAGTAATACAACATCTAATTTGAACATGGACACTGGGACCAGAGCTTGTAATAAACCCTGAAGCCAACTTTGCTGCCACGTACACCCAGACAACACAATCACTGGACCTAACAACATCAATGACACCATTTCAGGCTCATTCACTTGCTCATCTTCTAACATTGTGTATGCCATTAAATGTCAACAGTGCCCTTCAGTTCTCTACATAGGTCAAACAGGTCAAATACTATGCCAAAAGATAAATGAACACAAATCTGACATTAAGAATTACAAGACTGAGAAACCTGTTAGAGAACATTTCAACCTTTTATTGCAAAGGAACTTCAGGAACGAACTAGAAAAGGAAATTGCTGAATTGCAAGTTATTACAGGGGAGATACTCTACACAGCCACCTGTCCCAGGGCTGACCTTACTTAGCTTCCGAGATCTGATGAGGTCAGAGGTAAGGTAACAAATCTGGTAACCAAAAAAGCTTGAGTGAGCAAGCTCCAAAAATGTACAATTGGAAAAACCAAAGCAAAAGGATGCTTTAATAATAACAATGAAATATGTTCAATAATAAGGAGCATAATTCACTAAAATGTTTCTCTAGTGGTAAATAGCCAATAAACCAATATAGATCTAACAATATTTATCATTTAGCTCCTTTTTTCCAAGTAAATGTTATGAGAAATGTTTTCTTTCTTTAGGAATAGGGAATGATTCTCAAGTGTAAAGGCTGGAATATATGGGAAATGGGCTCACCTATTTTAATGGGGAAAAATAGCAACCATATGAATGAAGAAAATTTATTAATGTAATACATTTGCTATACCAGTATTAGCAAACCTAAATTTGAATTTAGATTTTCTTTTTTCTTTTTCCAAATAAATTTTTATTATTAATGCTCAAATAATAAATTACAATATAACATTTTTAACACAACGTTTAACATATAACAATAACAGATTGGTAGAATAAAGGAGTCAGTCTACATTGTATTTTTCATTACATACAAAATAAAGATCTATACGTTTAGCGTTATAGTGTCCAGTTCTGACTAATAAAAGAATAATATTGCAACTGTTGAGAACTGCTCACATTCTCCAAGATGAACTCTAGTTTCCCCCAAATAGGATACCATCGTCCATAAAAGGCGTCCGATTTTTGGGAGGATGCTTCATAAGCTAATGAGCTTGAGATTTTATCCATGAGTAAATGGTTCCAAATATTGGAATACCATACCCGTAGCTCAGGTTTCGTATTTTTGTTCCAGTTCAAAGCTATAGTTGTTTTTGCTGCTGAGATCAACAAGGTAAGTAGTTCTTTGTTAAAATTTGTTATTGGAACGTCCGACCAGTTATTCAATAAAATAACCGTCGGTGACCATGGTATCTCTATTCCAGTTAGTCGAGTTATTTCTTGGATTATGTCTTTCCAAAATTCAGTTATTAGCGGACAGTCCCACCAACAATGAAAATAAGATCCCAAGTGTCCGCATTTCTTCCAACACAAGGGTGAGAGTGATTTGTTCATTTTATTTAATTTCATAGGGGTCACGTACCAGTGCGATATAATTTTAAAATTTTGTTGTCTTATATTAATTGATTTGGATATTGAGGCGTATGAGGTCCAGACTGCGTCCCAGAACTCGTCGTCGAGGGACATTTGAAGGTCTTTTGCCCATGCAGCCGAATAAGTGGGCAATTTGCAAGGTTGCGGGTCTATTAATATTTTGTAAATTTTAGAAATGAGTCCTGTACCTCTGGAGTGCGGCTGAACAATTAACTTTTCAAAGTCCGAAAGTGGCTTTTTGCAAGATAGTTGGATCCGCGGTTGGGAAAATAAGTGGCTGAGTTGCATGAACTCTAACCAAGGCAGGCAACATTTAGCCTTTTTGTCGAGTTTGGTTTTATTCATTAGTTTTTGTTTTTGAGTTAAATCGTATAGGGAATTCAATTTAGCCTTTTTCCAGCACGTAAAGGCTGTAGGGGCTTTGGCTGGGATGAACCATTCTTGGCCGAAATAAGTGGACGCTAAAGATACATCAGAAACTAGATATTTGCGTTTCTGTTTCCATATATTAAATAACGATTGAAGAAAAGGATATTGGGTAATTCCCGGTTGGTTGTGTAGTTTTTTATTCCAGATGACAATATTGAATTGTTCATCATTTAAAATTTTTTCCTCTATATTAACCCATTCAGGTTGGGGTGATGATTTTAATATTCGAACTAGAGTTGATAATAGAGAAGATTCGTAATATAATTTAATGTCCGGAAGAGCTAGCCCGCCTATTCGAGTTGGTCTACTTAAGGTATTTTTATTAATTCGAGATTTGCGGTAGCTCCAAACAAACTTAATCCAATACGATTGCCATGATGCAAAATACTGAGGGGAAATTGGCAGGGGAAGTACGCGGAAAAGATACAACAGTTTAGGGAAAACAAAAGTTTTGAGAGCTTGAATTCTTTCAAACCAAGTAAGACTTTGTTTATGCCATATTTCAAGTTGTGTTTTGGTTTTCACGATAGTGTCTTCATAGTTAATTGCAAATAATTTGGTAAGATCCTTAGGAATTTTAATTCCTAAATAAGACCAATAGTTGTGGACCCATTGATACTGATAATGGGATCGAATAAAACTGGTGGAGTCCGGTGTTAGATTGATTGGGTACAAAATAGTTTTAGATTTGTTTACGTGAAGCCCCGAAATTGCGGCAAATTTTTCTAAAATGGATTCAATAGCTTTAATGGATTGTTGGGGGTGATGAATATATACCACTATATCGTCTGCGAAAAGACTGATTTTGTAGGTAGTGTGATTAATGGTTATTCCTGTAATATTGTCGTTCAGTCTGATTTGGTTTGCCAACGGCTCAATTGAAATGGCAAAGAGGAGAGGGGATAGGGGGCAACCTTGCCTTATTCCACTGGTTCCAAGTAAATGTTATGAGAAATGTTTTCTTTCTTTAGGAATAGGGAATGATTCTCAAGTGTAAAGGCTGGAATATATGGGAAATGGGCTCACCTATTTTAATGGGGAAAAATAGCAACCATATGAATGAAGAAAATTTATTAATGTAATACATTTGCTATACCAGTATTAGCAAACCTAAATTTGAATTTAGATTTTCTGTTCACAATATTTTGGTTGCTTTTTGTCTACAATTTTATAATTTTTGTATAAAAATGCAAATTATATGAATTGTTCTGTTATCTGAAGAGATCTATGAAATCTACATTTTGTCAGCTTTATTAGAAACTGAGTTTAAATACATACAAATATAATTTTAAGAACCATATGTATTCATGATAAGACTGGCAAATTTACAGCATATACTGCCTAACTACAGTTTGGTGTAGTGGTTAAGTGTGTGGACTATAATCTGGGAGAACCAGGTTTGATTCCCCACTCCTCCACTTGCAGCTGCTGGATGACCTTGGGCAAGCCATAGTTCTGTCAGACCTGTCCTTGAAAAAGCAATTCTCTCAGAGCCCTCTCAGCCCCACCTACCTCACATGGTGTCTGTTGTGGGGAGGGGAAGGGAAAGAAGTTTGTAAGCCTCTCTGAGACTCCGAGTGAAGGGCAGGGTATATATCTAATCTCCTCCTCCTCTTATTCTTCTAACTCTTTAGCAGCAGTTGCAAAATTCTCTGTGGAGTATATGTGTTGTGGGTTTCTTGTTGGTGGATCCAGCCATACTTGTGATTCTGTTTGCAGACCAGGATGAACAGCCAGGACAAGGGGCTTCACGTAAAGAGAGTCAAAATGAAGGAACAAAGAAAGTGGCTGAAGGTAAGCACTGTTTTCTATTTCATATGGACTGTCTGGCTTCAGGTAGCATTTACTGTGTAACATAAAGATACCCATGCTGTAGGATACAACATACTTTGGAGATAAGCATCCCTTAACAGTCATTTTGTATTTTCAGTGTTCAGATATTGAAGGACATAGAACAAATGGTTAAGTAGATACATATTTTTCTCAAGCTTGGTTTTCCAGGGCTTCAGGCTCCTGAGGAATACAAAGGGGCTGGTTTCTTGTTATATTTCGTGGCCATCAGTTGCTATAAACATGACAAGAAGCACATGGATGTGTAACATAATACGTGTATCCTTGGATAGTTCCATTTGTCTGTACTGCTCTAATATGAAATGTCACTAGGAAGCCACAGCTATCTCTGTGGAGGGCTTCAGCCACTTGCTGCTGTCTTCTATGAAAATCTGTTGTTATGTATGCGGACCGCCACCAGGGGTCCGTGGCTAAAGCAGGAGCTTGGTCCCCAAACACAAAGGGGACCTAGGATCCTAGTCCACCTTGAGTCCACCAATAGCACCCTTGGTGGGAAATTCAAACCCTCCAATGGGAACATAGGTGTGCCGGGTGGAGTGTATATAGTTGGCCTTGCAGGGCCGTTTTCTTTGTCTTGCAGTGAAGTACAATAAATGTGTCTGAAAGCATGTTGTAGTCCAAGTCCTCCATGCTGCGAACCCAGTACTTTACATCTGTCCTTGGGAACGATCAGGGCATCATAGCTGCCCTTCTAAATTGTCCTTCAGTGTATTGATAATTCGTTTAAATTCTTTCTTAGTTTTAGGTTTATTTTAATTTTGCCAGCATGCACGTCATCTCAGTCTTAATCCAGGTTGCTAGAAGGTGCTAGATATATGGTACAGTTTGCCAAAGACGGTTTGATTTTCTAGATGGCAGACTAGAGGACAAAACCTTCCTTAGACTATCCCTTTGAAACTAGAAGTCTCTGTGCTCAGTGGGTATTATTAGTAGCCCACACAGAGTTGTTCATTTCTTTTGCCATTGCGTAGGTCAGTTTCACTATATCTTATAATGGAGAATTCTCTTTCAGGATGCCTTACTTAAATTAATTTTATTTTCAAGGGAGACAAGTAAAAAAATTAGCATCTTTGTTAAAGGAAAGTAGAGAGGATAATTCTCTTGTTTGCAGAAAACACATCATTTGCTGAGAAAGAAGAAAAACCAGCTGAAGATGATGAAGAATATTTAAGTTCTGGAAGTGATGGTGAGTGTTGCCAGCAATCTTTGATCCTGAGACTTGCATATTAAAGTCATCCTCTCCCCTTTTCAGCTATTTTGGGCAGCTTTTCTCATGATCTAAACTTAAGTATGGAAGTAACATTCTAGGGTTAGTGGGCTCAGGCTCCAAGTCACAGAGTTTTATTAATCACAAACAGTGCCGGTCATCCGAGAATCCTCTTTACTAATAAAACAGGTGTGGAGGTGTCAAATTAGCCCTGACAATAAAAGGTGTCAAATTATAGGTAGCCCATCTGTTTTGACTTGTATCTTATATCTTCATATTGGAGTGGCAATTGTACCACTGACTTTTTTCAAGTGGGTTCAGAATGCCTCCTAGGCCTACATCTCTTTCAAAGAGACATCCCCCCCCCAGTGTATAGCATGTGGATAGTCTTATTTCATATTTCCTCTTAGCATCATCTAGAGCAGGGGTGTTGAATTCATTTGTTATGAGGGCTGGATCTGACATAAATCAGACCCTGTTGGGCCGGGCCATGTGTGTCATAAAATGTATTGCCAGGAAGTGGAGATATAAACTTTTTAAAGGACACAAACACAAATGTTTTTTTTTACTTAAAATAAAAAAACATGCTTAAAACATTAGCGCTCTTACAATATTTTGTTTATTTAACAGTGTTTGATAACTGACACCTCTTGCTCTGAATTATTGCATCAAAATGTCTGTGCTGTTGCAATCTTGAGTATGCTGTTCAGGTGTGTATCTGTAAGCTGCAAACCTATGATGATGCAGCAGCAGCAGAACTGGAAGAAGAAGCAGAAGACAGCCAGTTCCACTGAGGGCCTGATAGAAGTCCTCTGGGGGCCTGATCTGGCCCCCAGGCCACATGTTTGACACCCCTGATCTAGAGACTTTTTCTCAATTTATGTGATAATCAAGCTTTGCTAATTTCTGGACAGGCTGATACATGAATGCAGTTCAGTTCCAGTAGTGCTGTTCTTCTTCCAAATGCCACTCTCTACTCCAGTAATCTCATTTCACTCCAGAAGTGTATAAACTGAAGTCCTATGCTGACTTTGAGCAGATTGGTCCTTGGCTTTCCTTTCTCCGCTCTGTTAAAGCCTCAAAGGAATGGTTTGTTTTTTTTCTGTGCATTTAATACTTATTGTCTGTCTAGAAATGCCTTATTTGTCCTTACTCTGAAGTAGGGTTGTCAGGTCCTATCTGGCTTCTGGCAGGGGGACTCCTGACCCTTCCTGTAGTTCTTGATGACATCACCCGGGAATGACGTCATCGTCTTTTCGACGTTGGGGGTGACGCTCTAGGTTTTGCGAAAACGATGGTTTTGGGGCCTCACCTGGCTGGTGCCATTGCGCTGCACTGTTGGCACTGGCAGGGGGCTTCTCAGGGGTGGGGCTTCCCCCACTGGCCAGCTGGGCCACAGCAGATTGGGGCCCCTGAAATCAGGGGATCCCCTGGCCCCACTGGCAGAATGGCAACCCTACTCTGAAGTAAGTCCCATTGATCTCAGATGGAGCTTTCTCCCAAGTAAAGGTGTACAGGATCACAACTTTGTTCTCACAATTTTAGATTCAAGAGTATTTACAGCTATAGACATTTGGCTGCAGGTTTCCAATAAGCTGAAAAAATCATTCGACATAGTATTGGTTTGTTGGAGTCACAAAGTCATTACAAACATATCACATAGCTACCCATGCTTGCCCGTCTCTTGTCTGTCTGAAAAGTAGGTTCTCTTCTTTATGCTTATGTTTTTGAAATCCAGAAGAAGAGGAGGAAGAGGAGCAAATAGAAACTGTAAAGCCTCCAGAACCAGTGAAAAAACCAGTAAAGGTAGAGAAGAAAATCTCCGAAACCTTCTTCTATAAATATGAAGATTTATGCTCCCTCCCGTATGTGACTCCGGATTCTGAGATACCGTTTGGCCTGCTTGTTCTCATGTATCCACTTTCTTCCATTGTGTATGAATTTAGGGTTTGAATTTACTTTTATAATAAACACAGTAGGGCAGGTTCAAACCTCATCCCAATTAGAGTATATTGAAAATAGAAATAATAATTTGGTGTAGTGAATAGAGTGTTAGACTAGCATATCATACAGGGATTTTGTGAAGATTAACTGGCTGTGGGGCACATATTCTGGTTAAAAAGAAGGATGAAATACAAATATGACAAGCAAACATATAAAGCCAGTTCAGGGAAATTTGAAATTGTGTATTGCTGCTGATTTTAATGTTACATTTTAATACCACAGCACTACAAAGGAATTTCATGCAGAGTATTATGTTTTCACCATAATGCTGATAGAGGTAAAGGGGTGCATGCCGTAGTCTCATTCAGGGGTAATTTCATAGAAAAAGAGGTGTAGGAGCTCATTAGCATAACTTATTAGCATAACTTATTTGCATAGGCCACACCCCCTGACATCACCGGAAGTGTGTCAGAAGGCAACACCAACCACTCAGGCTCCACTGGACTGTTTTGGATTGCTAGCTATGGGGGGGGGCGAAACGTGCAGATCTGCTCTCACAGAGAACGGAGAGCTTGTATCTGAAGGGGGGCCGGGGGGGGGGCTCTGCAACTTACCTGGCTACTTCTTGCTCCTGATGGCCCGACTGATGGCTGCTGGGAGTGGGGGGCAGGGCTTGTTTCATGTGCCCGCCCCCTGAGCTCCTTACTGCTGGAGCTCTGCTCCTGTGCGCTCCTGCACGAAATGACCCCTGGTCTCATTTGCTAATAGTTGGAATCTATGCACAGACTTGTGGAGTGGGACTTTCCTGCTTTCCTGTCCTGTTACAGTCCACTGAAACTCCCCAGATTTTCTTCTCGGAGTGATGGCAGTATAAGCAGACGCTCATGAATAGGGGGGAAAAGGGGGTGGTGGTGGCAGTCTGTATTTGGAAGGAGGGGATTGGTGGAAAACACTGCCCCCTCCCCCAAAGATTTAAGTGCCATTAAATATTTGAAACTGCATGGGTTGTGGTTATATGCCTTTATTATTAACTTTTATTTGTTTGATAAAGGAACAGCAAAGACGGCAACAACTAACTGTGTAGCACAGATGGATCTTTCTTGATAGACAAAGGAAGAAGCAGACTTTGAAAAGAGTTGTCAATGAAGTGGGAGTTGGTTTGATTCGCACACAAAAAAGGATGGATCTCTGGCATAAAAAGTCTCTTGGGCAGGAATAGTAGAAGGGATCAGTAGAGGTTAGGTACAGATGACTATGCTCAAGAAGGGATGAGTGTGAAGGAGCATAAGGAGGTGAGGGAAGATGTAGAGTATTGATCCTCAAACTATGTGGAGTGAAAGAGATCAAAGTGTACCTTGAAAAATTAAGCCACTACTTTTCATGCATCTGGCTGCCTGTCTCCACATAAAACTGCCTTATGTCATACCATTAGTCTATCAACATCAGTATTGCCAATTCTGGCTGCCAGCAACTCCCCAAGGCCTTAGGCAGAGGGGTTTCACATCACTTACTACCTGATTGTTGTGCCAGGAATCAAACCTGGGACCTTCTGCGCACAAAGCTGATGCTGTACAACTGAGCCATGGTCAAAGGTACAGCCTTCTGAACCCTCAGGTAGGTATACCACAGATCACAGTTAGACCCCTCAGACTGTGGAGACCCCAGGTAGTGCTAGCCCACTGAACATTGTTATCTGGGAAACCATATCACCCGAAGGGAGGGACAACATCTCAGCTGGCTTCACCAGCAACTGGTGAGGTGAACGCCTTTGTATTTTCTTTAAAAAGAAAATAAAACATTGTCAAATTACACAATGCTTGAGTTCTAGAGGGTACTAAGCTGTATTAGTAATATATTGAGCCAGAAGAACTGAAACGTGTTTTTAAAGGATGGATAGGAATAGGCTACACATTTAAAAAAACGATTAATCTTTTTAAATGTAATTTATATATGAAAAGACTGTGCCCCCAGCTATTGAACACAACTTTCAGATAAGCTTCTTAATTAAGCTTAATTAAGGTATATATGGGATCCCCCACCATCTTTTAAAACTGATATCTTTATAATTACTTGAATGAAATCACCCTAAATAATAGCATCACTTATGTTCCTTAGTGACAGTTCCTCAGGCACTCTTTTGGTTATGACTGCACTAAACGGGCAAACCTCCAGGTGATGGATAGTTCAACACTCCTTTACATAGCTGGCAACCAGATAGTACTTCTGGACTTGAAATTAAGGTATCAAAGATACCTTCGAAGCTCAAGTGGTGGAGGGATTGGAATCATCACGGTAAGACGATTCATTTTAACTTGGAAGATCTTTTGCTTGAGTTCACCTTTAGTAGTAAAATAAGCAGGGGTGTTTGAGTAAGTTTTAATCTCTCATTGAGAAATATTTTGGCTTGTAATTCTCAGTGCAGCTGTCTGTTCCTATGTTAAATACTTATCTTTAACAGTTTATGTTGTCTTAAATTTCATCTTATATAATAGTGGCACATGAGTTAGATTGCCTCTCTAATACCTTTTATTTTAAAAGAAATAGGAAGCCACTGGTTCGAGTGTTGTTCTATGGACAACAAAGAAATTTAGATTAGCTCCCTTGAGCAGGTTCTCTGGAGAGGTAATATATACATTTTCCAAATAATAAAGTTATTATTAAATTTTCCAAATTATTAAGTATTATTAAAATTTCCAAATAATAAAGTTAACTAATACAGCATAAATTAAACAATAAAGTTAATAATAGTTCCCAATAATAAAGTTCAGACACAGTTGGAGTTTGTAGACCAAACTGTGTCTTGGGTCCACAATTAATTTCACAATGTATGATTTCTTAATCAATACTTTAGTGGAGAGAGTAACAAAATTTTTCAAAAGATTAGCTGTGTTAGTCTGTTGCAGCAAAGTGAAAAAAAATCAAGTGTTACCTTTAATCAAGGAGTAACCTTGATTAGTCTTAAAGATGCCACTTGAATTCTGTTTTACTTAGTAACATTAATAGTGCCAGAAGTTAAACTAAAATACAGTGCTGCTTCATCACCCTAATAAATGCATTTTTGCACATACTATTTTTAAAGGGAGGGCTGTCCTAATGTACTCTGGGACAATTAAATAAATTAAATGAAAACTGATAAATCAAGCACTGTACGATCCAGTGGTTCCTCTTTATTTGATGTGTACTCAGTCAAATGATAAAATATTGTGAAGGAAAATACAATGGGAAGTAATTCAAGTATATTAGTTCCTGTAACTTAAAAGTGAATTTCAGTCATTTAAATGGTACTGAGAGGATATCAGAAGGAAAGTCAGTGCTATTATGTTTATGTGTACTGCATACTAGCTACTTGTTGAATAGCTGGCAAACAATATTCTACCTGATTGCCTCTATAGCACCAAGAAACCTGTAGTACATTCTTATTTCCAGGTGGAACAGAGGAAGCCTATGCATTTGCTGACTTTAATCGTTCTGGCACTATGATAGCCACTGTTGGGAGCAGCCCTGATTATATGCTGACAGTTTGGGACTGGAAACAGGAGAAGATTATATTGAGATCGAAGGCATTTTCGCAAGATATTTTTAAAGTCACGTTCTCTCTTGAAAATGAAGAACAACTAACCACATCTGGTTCAGGACACATAAAGTAAGCTAGCTGTCAGTGGAGTTTTATCTGAAGGAACCAGGATGTCATGTTGATAACATTTGTGTGTAATATAAACAAATAATAGTGATTACCTGGGGTATTTTGTCTTGTGAACAATAGCAGAACTGTATTCCTCACTAAAATAGAATTTATTTTATCACATGTTTGAAAACATTGCTAAGATCATGACCATCATATCTGTTTCTCCTTCCCCCTTTTTTATTTTGTAACATCTAGCCTGATAAAAAGTTCTGGGGAACTTGAAAGCTTGCATGCTGTTTTGTGTCATTTTGGTTGGTCTTAATAAAAAGTGTTACATGGATTCCATTACTGTAGTGGAATCCACAGTTTCTTTTGAGCATAAAGTTGCATCAAAGAGTGTAACTAGATGAGTCATGGGAAATCTGTTTTTGGATATTTAATTTTACTTTGAAGCAACCATGCCTCCTATTAGAACTGGGCCACAGAGGATGAGGGATAGCCTAACTCTTTTTCTCTGGCTGTGTAATTTTTCCTCTCTAAATACTTCCCCCTCCCCCTCCCCTGCTACTGTTTGTCCTAGGTACACGCAGATAGTTTGGGCAGTTTAGATTGGGGAAAATAGTGTAGGGTGGAAAGATTAATCTCTCCCCCACCCTTTCTAAATCTCTGTAGCCTGAGTCTTCTGTATCTAATCTAGTGGCAATTTGTTTCTTGTGTACCATTTAATTTAAGAAGTACATTACTGAACAAACATTGGACTAGCACATACATCACTGAATGAGTTAGCATGTAGTGCTTCCTAATTTTTTCCACATTTTCCTCAGTCTTTACACAAGTAAAATGGTTTACAATTGGCTTCTGAATGTAGTAAAAGAAACTTATTTTTACTGACTAGTTGTTGTGGCCATTCTTGGACACAATACCACCAGAGGTAGCTTTAAAAGATTGCAGATGCTCAGTCTGTTCAGAGAAAGGGTAAATATTGGTGCTAATATGAAAAATGGTTAGAATACAGCTAGTGCATATATTGTCTAATTCTAGTGCAGTTATCTGGACAATTGCTTTAATTGTCCTAAATCTCCTGTTTACAAATGGCCTCTGCAGCCTAGCTTTGAGGCCATTGTAGCATCAGTTTACAAAAAGGTTATTTGGGGTGGAATTGCATTGGAGTATAGTTAGTATTTAATTGAATGAATCAGATTTTGGAGAAGTGAGGTGTTTACACCAGGATCTCATAATTTAAGCTCTCCTATGGTCAGTAATAAACTCAATACACTATCTCTGGCTTCTCTTCCTTCCCTTTTGGAGAAGACAGTGTTCTTGTCATCTGTGTTCAAAGGGATATTACTGGGACTGTTACGAGAAGCCTGCCATTTCAAGGAGTGTACAGTAGGGAACGTGGTAGATCTACTTGTAAGAATGCCCCCAAGACTACCACTTCAGGCAGCAGGTAGATCTTCTCCAAAAAAGGCTCATCCAGAATGAGTTTGAAGCTGTGGAGTTATGCTTATGTGTGAGTAAATGTACTAGTAAATAGGTCTTATAGCCTGCAGAGCAATTCATTGGGTAAATTTGGAAAGCAAAGTTATATGCCAATGGACATAAATAGCTTAAACAAATGTTTGTTTTTCATATGTTCTCATGAGGTCAAGATATGTATAGATTACTGGTCTAGAAATATAGAGTTAAATAGATTAGAGCCAATACTATATAAGGCAAATAAGGAAGAATATAGCTAGCCAGTTAGACCAGAGTCAATACTATGTGTTATATTCTTATATGGTCAATACGTAATGGGAATCAAATTAAGGTAATATATGTACTCCAAAGAAAATCAAATTCAAAGGTTTTGCTCAACATAATGTGGAAAAGGTGGATGAGAACAAGAACTGGATATTTATCAAATTACTTCATATGATTAGTTAACTGCTCTGTGTTGAAAAAAAAAGGGAAAGGTTGTGTTTGATGTTGTAAGTTGTGGAGGGGTGGGTGTTTTGTCTTATTGTGCGGAAAACAATAAAAATATTATATATAAAAAAGATATGTATAGATTTGTGCCCAACACAAATAAATTACACATATTGGAGTCTTTGTGCCCATAGTTACCCAAATTTGTCAGTATGTATGACATCCTTGGGGGAAAAATGAGAATACAATAACTGTTGAAAAGGTAACTTTGATTTTGTATGGTCAGGTTTTGGAAGATGGCTCTTACTTTCACTGGTCTGAAACTACAAGGAGCTTTGGGCAGATTTGGGAAAACAGCACTGACAGACATCGAAGGATATGTGGAGTTGCCAGATGGGAAGGTAAGGAATATTTCAACCCTTTCACATGCAAGTCTTTCTAGACAATAAATTAAGCCCTACGATGTTCTATTCATGTTAGTCCTGATCCAAAATGGCAGGAATTATGAAGAATTCTAAATTGGCTTACATTTTTTACATTTGGTTTACATCTTGTGTCATCATGATTTGCTCCATATTTACAATCATAGAACCCCCGATAGAGGAGGAGGAGGACAAGCAGAGGAGGCAGCTTAAGGTTTGACCGTGTTTACAATTGCATTTACAAAAAGATAGTTTCAGCAGTCAGGACAGCTTCATCAGGACAAGTAGGAGATTAAATGGCAGACTGGCATTTTTCCATCAGCACCAGGTCAGGCAATTGGTTCCCTTCCTGTCTCACCCAGACGTAGCCACAGTGATCCACACAATGGTCACCTCCAGACTAGACTACTGTAACTCATTCTGTGCAGGGCTACCCTTGAGACTGACCTGGAAACTCCAACTGGTCCAGAATGTGGCAGTGCGTGTTCTTACAGGTACACCATCTAGAGCCCATATACAGCCAGTGCCCCACCAGCTGCACTGGCTCCAAATTGAATACCGGATCTTGGTTTTAACCTTTAAAGCCCTACATGGTCTGGGACCAACATATCTTCAGGAATGTGTTTACTGGTATGTCCCCCAAAGAGCACTGCACTCTATAGGTAATAATCTCCTGGTGATCCCTGGCCCAAAAAGCATTTGTTTAGCCTCAGCTCGAGCCAGAGCCTTCTTGGCTCTGGCCCCGGCCTGGTGGAACGTTCTTCCAGTTGGGATATAGGGCTTGCAGAATCTGATGCAGTTCTGCAGGGCCTGCAAGACAGAGATGTTCTGCCAGGCCCATGGGTGAGGCAATGAAGTTTTCATCTGAATTAGCCTCCCCCAGCCCCTTCTTCACCATCTATCTTATCACTGTGTTAGTTTTATCCATTGGAACACAGGTTGCACAATCGTTTTTTCATAATTAATTTATGGTACTGTTTTAACGGTGTTGTTACCTGCCCTGAGCCCTGCTGTGCAGGGGAGGGTGGGCTTTAAGTCCAATGAAATAAATAATTTCTGAACATTTGCAAACAGCAACTATTTATTTAGTACATGATCTTTCCTATGAGGAAGGTTAGGTTGAGAGAGTGTGACTGGTCTGAGATCACCCAGCAAGTTTCACAGTGGGATAGGGATTTGAATCTGGGGTTTCCCAGAACCTTGTCTGACACTCTAACCACCACATCACAGAGGCTCTAACCATTCCACAAATAAGCAAGTACAAGAGAACTAGAAGTCTCAAAAGTTAAAAAATTGCAAAGCAGAATATCAGTATCTCTCATTATTGATTACAAACTAAGTGATAATTTGAGGGGTGGGGGATAATCTAATGAAAAGAAATATTACAGTTTGGAGCAGGGGACATTCATATGATGATTCCATTCTTTTTCAATTTGGTGCTATTACTAAGTCAATTTAGGTCTTACAGACAGGAATCACAGCATTTTGTTGGGGAAATATATTTACTGGGTGTGTACAGATGAAGGAAAGGTTGAAGGAGCTGGGTATGTTTAGCCTGGGGAGGAGATGACTGAGAGGTGATATGATAACCATCTTTGAGTACCTGAAGAGCTGTCATATAGACGATGATACGGAGTTGTTTTCTATTGCCCCAGAAGGTTGGACCAGAACCAATGGGTTGAAATTAAATCAGAAGCGTTTTCGGCGAAACATTAGGAAGAATTTCCTGACAGAGCAGTTCCTCAGTGGAACAGGCTTCCTCGGGAGGTGGTGGGCTCTCCTTCTTTGGAGGTTTTCAAAGAGAGGCTAGATGGCCATCTGACAGCAATGCTGATTCTGTGAATTTAGGGAGATCATGAGAGGGAGGGCAGGAAGGGTTGCATCAGTGCTTAGTCCTTGTGGCCCTTTCTTACATGCCCAGGGCGTGGAACTGCGGTCACAGCAGGTGTGGTGGGGAAGGTATTTGTGAATTTCCTGCCTTGTGCAGGGGGTTGGACTAGATGACTCTGGAGGTCCTTCCAACTCTGTGACCGATTTCCCACAAGCTGCTGCTCTGCCCTCGCTCTTCCCTTTCCCCCAATTTTAAGCGTCAATTTCCCACTACTTGCTGCGCGGCCACATTTTGACCCGCAGCTTCACCTGATTTCCCCCGCATCTTCTCGATCCTGTTTTTTGAGGATCAAAAATATGCAGGGGAAATTGGGTGAAACTGCGGGTCAAAAGGCGACCATGCAGCAAGTAGTGGGAAATTGACAAATACAATCGGGGGAAGGGAAGAACGAGGGCAGTGCAGCTGCTTGTGGGAAATCGGTCTATGATTCTATGAAGCTGTTGCAGAATGTAACATATTCTGTTGTATCACTTTCATTTATGCATGGTTCTGACATAATGTATTTTGTTTCATTTTCATGAAAGGTGCTTTCAGGGTCAGAATGGGGCAACATGCTGCTCTGGGAAGGGGGCCTCATTAAAGTGGAACTTTGTCGACCTGGCCATAAAACTTGCCACCATGGGCCAATTAATCAGTTAGTTCTGGATGAAGGAGAGTTGGTCACCATTGGATCAGACGGCTATATCAGGGTGAGTGTTTTCTTAAAAGACATGTACTGAACTGACATATTGCCCAGGCCCACTTCACATGGGGAGGGCAATTCCCCCCCCCCCACTATTCAAGAGGCAGTTTGTTGCTGTCTTCCTTAAAGGAAGCATTGAGAAATACCCTATCAGGAATGAGGGGTTGCCATTAGAAAGATATTTCTCCATGTGTCAGTGAATGTTCACTCAAGGGAGTGTGGCCAGATCTTGCTTCTGGGTTTATAAGGACTTGTTAAAGATTTAAAGGCAGTATTCACTATTCAGTTTTTATTGAGGTATCTTTTCATCACAATCATTGTTTATTACATTTTTATGCCACTTTAATCTATCCCAGAGCCAGAGGTGTTATATATATAGAGAGAGAGGGGGAGGGGGGAGGGGGGGGAGAGATCCATCCATCCATCCATCCATCCATCCATCCATCCATCCATCCATCCATCCTAGGAGATTTGTCATTCCTGCACTTAGCTTCAGCAAGGATGCTGTATCATTTGCCTTTCAAGCAAATACATTTACTAATACATTCCTGAAGTTTCCTTGCCATGTTTTATTTACCCTTAATTTAATATTGCTTTATTCATTTTCATGCAGGATGCTATGAAGTGTGTTCTTCAATTAAAGTATCACTGATATTTTTCTTCAATTAAGTATGTGTTCTTCAAGTTAAAGTATCACTGATACTTTCCTGTATTAATAGTTTTTGAATCAAGGAACTTGCAGGGTGCAGCACCTATTTATAGAGTTTCTCCTATAAACAAACAATGCTGGCCGTGAAGATAATTAAAGATGAGCCTGGAAAAATTAGACTAGAGAATATTTCAAGAATTATTCTCCAAAATTGTTCAACACTTGCTAGTTAGGTTTCATTAATATCACAAAAGATAAGCTAACTGTATTAGCTTGACTTTGTTGCCATTCAGGATTGAAAGTCTTCTGAGACAAAGAGGAGTGATAAGGCAGTACTGGATACTTCTTGGTTGTAACTAGTGCTAACTACCTCATTTGGATTTTGCATAGTTATGGTTTTAGATTTAATTAATTTCTTTAGGGATCTAATGAAAGGAAATGTGTGCATAGTTCGTAGTAGAATAGCATAGGTTATCTTCTGCTTGAAATGTATTATTTTGAAATTAATTGAGATACCGGGAAGCTTGTGGTGCATAGATTATAGGTTGACAATTTGAATGTTCCTTGCATTGATGAATGACGGTAGCTCTTTCAAACTGGTGTTCTGGTCAGTTAAGTGAGAATGTGATATCCTTTTGAGATACCATTCCCTCAGCTTTTCTCTGAAGCTTTTCTAAATGTATTGAGTTGGATCCTAGGTTGTCCTTTTGCCAGAGTTACAGCAGTTACACAGGCGGAACATCACTTCCACTAGCAAAGGAGCAGGCAATGATTTCCACCTCCTACTTTGCTCCCTCCCCTCTGTTCCTGAGGGCTTCTTGACCCACAGAAGCAGAACTTGGGGGAGGGAGGCTCTGTGATCTACAGCAGGAGCTTCACTCTACTGATTTTAGATAAGAGCCAGCACATTATTTATTTTAGAATCTGTCTCCAAAAATGGGTTCGAGGCAAGTTACAAAGAAAAGTTAAAAATAATAATACACAGTATATCATGGTACGACAGCAGTTCAAGATACATCATAGAAACAACAGACAATCCCAAACGACCAGAAATGAGGGGAGAACCGTTTGGAGTGGCTTTGCCATTTGAAAATGAAGAATCTCTTTTGTTCCAAATTCTTTAAAGGTGTGGGATTTTGAAACAATAGACACTGCTGATATTGTGGATGATTCTGGACTGCTAGAGATGGAACCCATGAATGAGCTTTTAGTTGGGAAACATGTCAATTTGAACTGTATGGTGAAAATTCATGAACGTGGAGAACCTTTTTGGTATGCTCAGGTGAGAGTTATTTTGATCTCTTTAAATTGTTTAAAGAATTATTTGAGGACACAATTTGAGGACAGCAGTGATAAGTATTTTACCATGATTATATAGTAGAATATAAATTGATGATACCACAGTGGTACATGATAGAAAGGCCTCAGAGTCAGCTGAGGGGCTTTCTAGATCTTTACACTACTGTATGGCACCATCATAAAGTTGTCCTGCCTAATTAGGTCTCATTATTAGGCCAGACAGAATTCTGTGGAACATCTTTCCATTTGCCATTCCTCGAACAACCATGCAGCACAAATTAGAGAAGAATGCAGGTCTTTGTCCCGGCAGAAGTTGAATCATGTTTGTCCCAGTTCCTTCTACCAAGAAATTTATAGAGCAATCCTGTGTTGTGCCCGTGCTGTGGTGGCCAGCTGCCACGTAACAGTAGCACCCCTAGTCCATTCCCTATGGAGATAAGTTACGCCAGCAAACAAAGTCAGTGGGTTTGCAGTGTTATCTGAGCATAACTGGGGTAGCATCCATAGCAGCTGCACTCGTGCTATCAGTGGAGGCATTGTGCAGAGGTGGTGGCACTGTGCTGGACAGGGCAGCCAGAACCAATCAGGGACCATTTGGCAAGGAGGCAGAGTCCAGAATCCATCATAGGCAGGGAGCAGAGAGGGGCAGGCCACAGGAGTTTTGCTTGTTGTCAGCAGTATACACCCCACACTCTTAAAGAGACCAGCTCCCGTCAGCAGTCCTGGGTACCTGACAGTGGGCCTTTTTTTTCGAGCTATCTGGCCCATGGGTATTCACAGCTGCCCTAATATCCACACAGAGCACAAGGTCCCCGAAGGGCAGAAGGGGAAGGGAATTGTCGTTGCTACCCTTATCCATTTGCAGGTGTCCTCCGCTCACCAGTGGGCACGCTTCCCAGCCATACTGCTGAGGGCAACCTGCATCCAACTGGTCACCCATGCCAGTGCAGGACACAGCACTGCCCTCATACCCCCCCATGTAGAGTATTGTATTGCAGTGGAACCCACACAAGTCACTTGGCATTTCTGGCTGCCAGTATATCCAATGGGCATTCCAGCTTCTCCCATTGTTCCCAGTGGACAATCCAGTCAGTTGCTTTAATGCATTCCCCCTTGATGCACTTCTGGCTGTTTCCAGTTTCCCTTGTGACATCAGTAGCCCCTCCAGGTGCCTGCCAGCTGCCACCAACCCCTCCATGCCCCAGGAAATACCATCCTTTCCCTGTGGTAGGACTATAGCTGCTGCCACTTAGTTGCCACCACAGGGCCCCAGCAACAACTCCCTTGGTACAGCATCCAGGATCTGACTCAGGTGCCTGCCTCTCCCACCAATGCCCACCCCACCCCCCTCCAAAGACATCAAGTCTGGCTGCTGCATTGGCTTCCCCTAACCATTGACTCAGGGGACCCCCTGCCCCCTCAGTGATACCTTCCCAGATGTCTTTCCCCTGGGTGACAGACACACAGTTCCTAGAGCAGACACACAGTTATGGACTTCATTCAATCATGCTCTTCATTGCCCACCTTCCTCACCTATGGGGACCCCAAGTGTCGAACACTGTTACCCTCTCTCCTGTTTTATGTTCACAACAACCTTGTGTGGTAGGTTAGGCTGAGAGTGTGCTACTGGCCCAAGGCTACCCACCTAGCTTCCATGACACAAGTTGGGATTGGAATCCCAGAGCTAGTTGTACACTCTGACCTCCACACCAAGCTGGCTCATTCACCCAGACCACCCTCTGGCCCATCTCCCTTTCACACAGTAGCCTGAGAGGTGAGGGGGGAACCTGGTGTTAGGTCAGTCCACCCACCTAGCTTCCATGGCACAAGTTGGGATTGGAATCCCAGAGCTAGTTGTACACTCTGACCTCCACACCAAGCTGGCTCATTCACCCAGACTACCCTCTGGCCCATCTCCCCTTCACACAGTAGCCTGAGTGGTGAGTGGGGAACCTGGTCTTAGGTCAGCCTTAGAGGTGCTGCTGGGACTGTTATGTTTGGCAGGTGATTTATAGATTAGATTTATACCCATCCCTCCCACCAGTGGCACCTGCAGAGTCATCCACAGCCACCCAAGGCACCCACTCTTAGACATGTCATTGGGCAGCCCTCTGGGGAGTCACAGATGGGGTGGGGAGGGACTGGGGCAGGGAGGGGCGTGGAGTTCCTGTCATTCAGTCAGGACCAAAGAGACAGAGAGACAGTTGTGGCATAGCACAGACTTTATTGAACTGCAAATCATGGCGAGCCCTGACAACTCCATTTGCTACCTCCCTGGGGCCATGGGGAGGAGGACTGAGGATCCCCTAGCATGGCATGTGTCTCAGTGGGGTGGAGCTGCAGGTGGAACTTGCAAGGGCTGGCTGGGTGCAACATTCCACTCCAAAAGTAGGGCTGGGACAGCAGACTGAACAGAGTGTGTGGGGAGAGACGGGACTAGCCACACCCAAAGGTCTCCCTATTGAATCTTCACCTGCGGCACTTCAATGAGATGTTTCACATACATCAAGTCCTATACAGATCATGCATTCAAAGTCCATCTGAATACATAACAGGCACGAGTGCCATGCTGGTCTCAGCTATAGATGTATGACCCTGACAGGGTCTGCAAATGCAGCCTCATGTGTGGGGCTTTACCATGAAACCCCCCCTTGAGGCACATGATGGTGCCATCTGAAGTACACTCATCTGTCCTGTGTTGAAGTGCTCAAGGACTGCTTGCAATCTATCCACAGCAGCCAGATATAATGGTTATATCTGATCTCTAGGTAATAAAGCAGGATTGCTTGTAAATGGAGTGATGTGGACGTACTAGATCTATTCCTTTTCCTTTTAAAAATAAATGAAGTGGCAAATGTCAGTAGGTAATAAAGCAGGATTGCTTGTAAATGAACGTACTAGATCTCTGGCAAATGTCAATGGGACAAGTTAGTTAATGATTTCAGTCAGATTCAAGTACAGCTAGCTTTCTCTGGATTGGAGGTAGCATCTTTACACTACAAGTGTAAATATCATTTGAAATAACAGCTGCTTTTACTTGTTTTCTTCTTTAGGATTCTAATGGAGCCATCTGGAAGCTTGATCTGAGTTTTGCAAATGTTGTACGTTTTTCATTTCTTTTTATCATTCTTTAAATTTATACATGGTTTGTATTTGGTAGCTAAATAGAGACATATTTTTTATATTTAAAGTCAATAGCACTAGTGATTTATCTTTTTATTGCTATCAAAATACCAAAGTTTTGACACAGAACAAGTGCATATGTGTTAAACAAATAGCTCAAATTAATGAAAAAAGAGAAATTTAGCTTAACATTGTTATTATACTGTTCTTTCAAGTGTCATAAGAAAGACTTCTGCTTATAATGGCTGATGCACTGTCATCAACATATAAACACATTTTAAGAGGATCTCTTCCAACAGATTTTCTGCTAATATAGTCTCTTTTGCTGTAATCAATGTGGCTTTGAGTTGGATGGACAGGTAAACAAAAGAAGGACCTTATTTGTTGCTTCTTCAAAGCCGACAGTATTCTAATACACAATCACTAGCAAAGATCCTTGGGGTTGAATTTACATACACAGTCTGTATCCAGTCTTTAAACTTTCTTTTTAGATTGAATGTTAGGTGCCCCTTTTTGAATGTCCAGCACAAGATGTTTCAAGAACATGATTTTCAGAAGGCTTTGGTGTCTGTAGGTACACATAGCTTTTAAACTGCTTTTGCAGATTATCTTCTAAAGAACTCCGTTTCATGTTTATTAGACTCACGATCCAGAATGTCTCTTTACTTTCCATTCTGGAAAGATAGAAGCCATTGCTGTTTCACCAGTCACATATCTAATGGCCACCACTGCTCTTGACCGTGAGTACAACTCTTTCTACCCCTCCCCCATTTAATTTTAAAGACTGAGATTAGCTACACTGATGTGTTCAGGGGATTGTCCACTGATCTTGTGTGATGCTCACTTGTAGCGCTGTAATTTCATTTTTTCAGAGTAAGAGTCTTTTTTTTCATAAATGGTTTCATGTTCCTGTCTTTGCAGCCGTGAGGGGGAAAATGCCATGTTCTTTGTGCTGTAAAATGTTAAGGAACAAGTGACCCAACAAGCATATTTATTTCCCTTTGGAAATATGTACCTTAAAAATTGACAAAAAAGCATTACTGAATAAAGTTTGGATGATTTTTTAGGGAATAAATAATAATGATGTCTATCTTTTGATAATGTTTGTATCCTGCTGTTTCTCCAAGGAGCTCAGTGCAGTTCCTCCTCTTCCTTTCGTTCTCACAAACATCTGGTGCAGGAGGTTAGATTGAGTGAAAATACCTGTCTTAAGGCTACTCCATTACAGGACAGGGAATTTGGACCTAGATCTTCCCAGTCCCAGATAGGGTTGCCAGCTCTGGGTTGGGAAATACCTGGAGATTTTGAGGGAGGGCATAGTTTGGGGAGGAGAGTGACCTTAGCAGGGTATAATACCATAGAGTTAACCCTCCAAAGCAGCCATTTTCTCCAGTGGAACTGATGTTGGCTAGCTGGAGATCAGTTGTAATAGCGGGAGATCTCCAGGTGCCACCTGTGGGTTAACAACCCTAGTTCCAGACTGACACTTTAATCACTATACTACATTGGCTTTAAATGCCTTTAAAAGACAAAGCATTAATCCTCAGAACTGTCTTGTGAGGTGGTCACTTACTCTAATGCTGCAGGTGAGAAATCTGAGAGAAGAGGCATCTGCTGGAAGGTATCAAAGGGCTTTGATATGAACTCTGGTTTTCTAAGTCCTCCACTACCTCTGTGTCTTGAAGGCATTAATGTTACTCAGTTGTCATGCAGCTTCTTGTGGGAATTTTGATGACAAAAAAGAAAGGTGTTTGTTGTCATGCAGCCAGAATTATTTCTTTGATTTTGGAAAGTGAGAGAGGACAATGGCTTTTCACTTTTCCCTACTGACTTGTTAAACTCTCTAACACAGGTTCAGTGCGTATCTATGATTTTGCTGCTAAAATGCAGTTGACTGAGATGAAATTTAAACAGGGAGGAACAGTGCTAACCTGGGCACCGAAAGTGGTAAGTAGCATTGGTATACTTGTATTTACTTGATCCTCCTGTGTATCTACTCCCATTTCTAATTGCTGCAACGTACAAATGGCTAATTGTCTTTGCTGCATTATGAGATTTGGAAGCTTATTGCACACCTTCACCATTCTTCTTCCTCCTTTTTCATCCTTCTAGGTTTCGCTCCAGAGTTTCTAGGTTTTAATATATTTTATAATTGTTTTAATATGTTAATCCAATTTTACAGGCCTTTTTTTTGTATTGCTACCTTTCTTGGGGCCAGGGTTGCCAGGTCATCACACCAGCAACATCCAGGTGACACTGTGGTATTTGAACAAAAACTCTTTGGTAGAAGCTGATTTTACCATAGAGGTTTTGCCCAATTACCAGAGTGTCACCTGAACATTGCTGGTATGATGACATCACTTCCTGTGTGATGCTGGCAACAAGGCCTGGGCCTTTCTCTTTTTCCAGGTAAGTCTCCCCGCTGGCCAGCTGATTGGCAACTGGGGGGCAGGGTCTGGTGGCGGGAGAAAAAAGGAAAAAAGGCAAACATACAAGTATTTATAACAAATTGTTATGCATTGTGTTATATGGATAGCCTGAAATATAGAATGAGCCTGAGCTTCAGTCACAAGCTCCATAGAATCTCGGTATCCTAAAATCAACAGCCTGATTGGCTGCCGTTGTGCAGTGGACCAATCAGGGAAGACTATGACTTTTGGTGGGAACAAACCTATTGGTCCTAAGCACTTACTTATGATTGGACCTTATTGTTCCAGGGGTGTGGTTTAGCCAGTTCCAAACTGTATATAAGTTGGGGTTGTTCTGTGTGTTCTGTTGTGTTTTGTTCTAATAAACTGAAATCACTGGTATAAGAAAGAGCTGCCTGATTTCAAGTTACAACACAAATAAATGCTTTCCCTTGTGTCCAAGAGGAGTAGGTTTGGGACCTTCACCCCTTCACTCACAGATGTCTTAGAAAATTGCATCCTCTAAAACAGTGGTTCTCAACCTTCCTAATGCCGTGACCCTTTAATACAGTTCCTCATGTTGTGGTGACCCCCAACCATAAAATTATTTTCGTTGCTACTTCATAACTGTAATTTTGCTACTGTTATGAATCGTAATGTAAATTTCTGATATGCAGGATGTATTTTCATTGTTACAAATTGAACATAATTAAAGCATAGTGATTAATCACAAAAACAATAAGACCATCGAAAATTTGTGTTTTTGGATGGTCTTAGGTGACCCCTGTGAAAGGGTCGTTCGACCCCTAAAGGGGTCGCTACCCACAGATTGAGAACCGCTGCTCTAAAAGGTAGTGAGAGTATACTGTACAAAACAGGCATGATTTTTGATCATTCACTGTTCAAATTCCTCTTCCTACTTGAATGACGGAGGTATGACTGAATAGTTCATCTTCAGAGTTTCAAACCTCTCCAGCCATGGGGCTCTTGGGTTGTGTGTGTCTGAAGATAGTTCTTGGCTTTCTCTTTGTTTTCTCTTTATAGCAGATGGATATACTGGGCTGGTATTGCAGGGAAATTATTCACGGTTCTTAATTTGGTTGCAGTTTTGTGGCTTTTTATATTCATTTTTTTGAAAAAAATATTATTTTTTAGTATTTTGGATTTTCTGGATTTTCGGTTTTGTGTCCTATTCCAAGTTTTCTGTCTGGCACTTGGAAAAAATAATGTCAGGTCCCGATCAGATGGGTCTTTAGATCTGCCCCAGGCATGAGTGCCTGGCGGACCTAAAGGGAACAATCAGACATCAACATCTGGGAAAGGTGTCGCTTCTGTGTTCAGCGCATTCAGCCCTGCCAGGGAGCCGTACTTTAAAGATACTGGTGAAAGTCCGGGGTTAATGCTTGCCGACAGGCCAATGGTGGACTTTCCCCTGTCTGATCGTTCCAGCGTGCAATCCTCCCACCAGGATGGTCTGACTCCAGACCATCCCAAAAGGTTGCCATTTTAAAAAAATCTTAGCGATATGTGCATAAACGTGTAAATGTGTGATAGCTGCAGAGCTCCACTCAAATGTTCTGGACAATTTTATGTTTCTGAATGGCCCGTGAAATTTATGAACTGCGTTAAATGAAATGGTACCTAGAGGGAGGTACCACTGGCGGTGCGCGGAAAAACAAGTATATGTTGAGGCACGGATGTGTATGTGCAGACAGTATTTTTTTTTTTTTAAGAAACCAACCGTGCAGCTCCATCAGGTGGACACCATCTAGACAATCCACCGCAGAGCCCGCGCGTGGTAAGGGGATTCATGGGGGAGCTGTCTGGTTGTGCAACACTGGATTAAAAAGATTGGGATCAAATTAGAGCCAGGCCAATGGCGGGATTAGCTGCCCGTCTGAACGCAGCCTAGGTCACAGTGTTTTGAGTTGTCTGCCTATGTGCTGAATAAGCCACAATGGGAATTTTGTATAGATTTATGAGGTGATGCATTAATTGTGGTTTAAAATAGCTCTACATTACTCTGTTACATTGATGAAAACTAATTTTTTTATCAAAGGTGAATCCAAAAGGAGGTCTAATTGCTGTAGGTTTTCAAGATGGTGTTGTTCGCATTATTGAACTTTATAATCCAAAGGGACTTCCTGTTGTTGCTGGACGGAACAACCTAGGCGAGGCAGCCTTGCGTCTGAAACACGCTTTCAAGCCTCACACCACGACTGTTACAGCATTGGCCTATGAACGTAATGGAGAACTGTTTGCCACAGGGGTATGGTTTCACTCTTTAAATGAAAACTTTTTAATGGACTGTTTACATTCGGTGTTTTTGTGTTTTTTTAAAAAATACTAATGCTCATTTATTCCTCCACTAGCCTGGTACCTGTGCTTCACTATGGTATTTAAGTTCTGTAAATCCAGTTATACTACTGATGTGAAGTTTGAAATGTAACATTTTTGTAGGAATTCTAATGGAGAAGATTGTAGTGTAAAAATGAAGTGAGACATATGTACTGTTTTTTCTCTCTACTGAAGGACCTCTCTGTAGACCACACTGGTGGTTCTGCCCTAAGGTGCTAAGATCACCAGGCTGCTTGGTGAGCTCACCCCGGAGCAGGCCACATAGATCTGTCCATGTGAGAAGCAGTTGTCTGTTAAGTCCTGCTACCTTCAGTGTCTGGCCTTGGGATTTGTTGATGGTTATAGTAAAGCATACCTTGAGGAGGAACTGCAGCCTCTTGAACTCGAAGGGGTTTTCATTGTAGTAGGGGTTGGTGTTATGGTAGGAATGCACTCCCCTTATTTTGGGTTTCTTGGTGCAGGGGTTCGGCCTGGGCATTGATTTTGGGGGTGGTGGTGTAGGGTATACCCACCTTTTTTTTTTACAAAAATGCTTCTCATTTATGTTCCATTTAAGAAGTAGGACATAGCTACATATTCAAAACAACATTCGGGCAATTAGATATTAAGCACGTTCATATGAACCAATTTTCTAGAACCCACATTATGAGAAGTTAAGTAACTTAATACAGGAAACCACTTTTCTACAAATTTTGGGTATATTTCCATAGTAGGTGGGAGTGTGGCTAAAGCCACTGGGGAGGCTGAGCCAGCAGCATTGCTAAAGTTATCCTCCTGGGGCAGCTTCCCTGATGGATTAAAGTACCCTAGCCCTGCTCCTACACCTAACACCCACCTGTCTAATGTAAAGGGGGGGGGAGAGATTGTGTTTAAAGGCATCGGGGAAGCTGGCCCAGCAGCAGTGCTAAGGCAATCCTGCTGAGCAAGCCTCCCTGACAGTTTTAAGGACTCTGTGCCCCTTCCAACCCTTGACAGGTCTATCAGGTATAAGAGGGGTAGTGTGTCTGAAGGCATCGGGGAAGCTGGGCCAGTAGGACTGCTAAGGCGATGCTCCTTGGGCAGCCTCCCTGATGGCTTTCAATGCTCTGCCCCTCTCCTGCGCCTGACAGACAACCGCTTGTCAAGTGGAGGAGGGGTGGATGGGAATGTGTCCCATTTGACCTAGCAGCATTGCTAGGTACCCTAGCCCTGCTCCTACACTTGACAGACACACACCTGTCTGGTGTTGGGGGGGAGTGTGTTTAAAGACATTTGGGAGGCTGATGTGTCCCATTTGACCTAGCAGCATTGCTAAGGATTAATGTACCCTAGCCCTGTTCCTACACTTGACAGACACACGCCTGTCTGGTGTTGGGGGGAGTGTGTTTAAAGACATTGGGGAGGCTGGGTCAGCAGCAGCACTAAGGCAAGCCTGCTGAGCAAGGCTCTCCAATGGCTGTAAGCATCCCACCCCCTCTCCTACACCTGACAGGTGGGGTATTGCAAGCCTGCAGGATCACTAAGGAATTACTGCTGGGGCAGGCTCCCTGATGGCTTTAAGCACCCTGCACCCGCTGCTGCACCTGACAGACAGCCACCTGTCAGGTGTAGGAGGTGGGGGGAGTGTGTTTGAAGCCATAGGGGAGGCTGGGCCAGCAGCCTTGCTGCACCTCACGGGTGATTAGCCGGATTGGCCATTCCTGAATTCCTCAACTCTCATTAGCTCTTTGCAGTCTCCTGTAACTGGGGGTTTTTTTACCTCAGAACACTGAGCTCTGCAGCTGACCAATCAGGGAGTGGGGGGGTGCAAGGAGGCAGCAGCCTGGCAGCCACATAGGGAGCAATGGAGGGAGCACATTTTACCCCTTTTGACCCCCCTTAGGGTCGAATTTCTAAAAATTCCTTCTTAGTGAGCATCTACGTCATGGTAGGAGTGCTCTCCCCAAATTTCATGTTTCTAGGTCCAGGGGTTTGGCCTGGGCATTGATTTTACCGTGAGGGGACTTTCTTTTATATATATATAGATGGGTTAAGGGTGGGAGCAGGCTGAGTGGAAGTGACATCAGGGTTGAACATTTGGGTGGAAGTCTAAAGCCCTGAGAGCAGTCTTTAGATTCACATCTCGAATATCTGAATACTTGACACACACACACCCCTGAAAATTAAGTGCAGAGTCTAAAATTACTCAGCTGCACCAGCTGGGCTGAGGCCTCCAGGGTCTGGTATGCTCATGATGTTACCACTTGACTCTATGATCTGTAGGTGTTTGGGCAACACCAGACATCATTTCTAGATTGTCTGGAGCTCATCCAAAATGTGAATATGCAGGAGAAAAATGGACTTTCCTACCTGGGGAAAAAATCCAGGTTCTGGAGAATGCTGGCAGCACTTCATACAAATGATAAAGTGGACACATGAGAATAGTCTTTCAGGTGCTGTGGGTCTATTTTGATTGGATCTAGGGCTACCAACCTCCAGGTTGGGCTTTGAATTCTCCCAGAATTACAACTGATCTCCAGACTACAGAGATCTGTTCCCCTGGAAGAAATAGTAGCTTCAGAAGGTGGATTCTATGACATCACACCCCTGCTGAGCTCCCTCCCCTCTCCAGACCCTGCCCTCTCCAGGCATTTCTCCCAAATCTTTATGAATTTCTCAGGCTGGAGTTGGCAACCCTAATTAGATCAGACATAATGGTCTTGATCTTTTAAAACATGGTTTGGAAGAATGGGAATGTTCTGTGAGCTTGTATAGTCCCTGCTCCAATTGTGCAAATCCATCCAATGAATCACAGTTTGTCTGCAAATTGTAAGTGAAAACTTGTGGATGAAGCTCAGATATGAGGTTAGGTAGAAACTGCCAAACCACACTTTGTTGTTGTGTGGAAACCTTATGTCCTTTATGTTGATAGACTCAAATATTCTTTTGCATTGCATGATTTTCACAATTATCCCCTTTCTTTTTCAGAGTAAAGATAAAACTGTATTCTTCTTTGCTGTAGATGACAAATATGATCCAATAGGATTCATTACTGTTCCTGGACCCGTGCAGGGACTGCAGTGGTCTCCACTGTCACATGTGAGGGGTTATTTTTTTCATAGTACTGGTATCTCACTGTTTATCTTTTTGCCATGCCTTGTGCTACTGTGTTGTATGCCAAACTAAATCTATATAAGTGAACCGGGGGAACATATTTCATTACTAATAATTGGTAGAACGTTTGAGCTTGAAATGCCACCACCAAGGGAGGAAGAGTTCCTGCCTTCCCCACCCCAAGTTGCCAAAACAGCTCTGGGGGGAAGTTACATCCCCACTTTTGCTGTTCCACATGCACAGATTACTCTATGTGGATCAGCAAAAATAGGTAAATAACCCCTCCACACACACACACACACACACACACACACACACACACACAGAAACTATTTCAGCACAGGAAAATGGCTGTGGGGGAGCAGGAGCCCTCCCTCCCTCTGAGGCCACATTCTAAGTCCAAATGAGCTTTCCTTTATTTTCCAAAAGCTGTTCCCTGCAGCTGATGTATGACTGCAAGGAAACTGAGTTGGGACTAGGGAATCCAGGCCCAACTCTTAAAAACCCAAATGTATAATTTGGTCCTCAGTTTGGATGGATGACATTCAGATTTCACCATGCTGAATAACTCGGTGCCACCTACAAAACTGTTGTATCAGAATTGATTTCTGATTCCTGATCAAGCATGAAGAGCACTGATCCCAATACATATTCTGAGAGGACTCAACTGCTTATTTTCTTGCACCGGGAAAACTGTTTAATTCTAAACTACTTACTGATCCCAGAAAAGACCTTTCCCCATTGCCTATTACTGTCAAAGGTTAAATATTGTATTTTGCTATGATCATAACTGCTCCAGAGCTCTCATCTGTTTTTCAGCAGCAGCAGCAAAGCCAGTCTCTTACACAGGACTGATGCTTATACTTTAACATTCTTTTCTGCAGCCAGAAAGCACGCTGCTTGTGTTGTGTGAGAATGGTTTCGCTGTCCAAGTTCTTGCTCCAAACCCTGGAGACCATGATGTGGAAAAAACATATAAAATCAAAGATATCCCGACAGAGTATTTTTGTTTCTACAGCATAATGTCTCGGCTTAAGGTAACAATTCGGTAATAAATAAGGAAGTTAAATCTTTAGGCCTTGTATTACCAAAGTACAAAATGCTGAATTCGTTAATTTTACGGTATTGTATATAAGACTATAGCTGAAGCATTTACAAAAAGAATAGAGGTATCTTTATTTATTATTTTGCCCAGTTATAGGTTGATTCTTATATATTCTCAAGGCATAGAAAATAGAACAAGGAATATAAACACAATTATGGGACTATGTATAGAATTAATGTGGCATTATCTTTCTTTCATTATCTACTTCAGGCTATATAATTTGGCATGCCTATATGAAACTGATTCAGCTCACAAGGCACTGCTGGCTCTTCGGCTTTGAAACGGAGATGAGCACCGCAACCCTAGAGTCGGATTCAACTGGCTTTCGAGCAAGGGAACCTTTACCTTTACCTTTTATTACCAAAGTACAAAATGCTGAATTTGTTAATTTTACAGTGTTGTATATAAGACTATAGATGAAGCGTTTACAAAAGGAATAGAGGTATCTTTATTTATTATTTTGCCCAGTTATAGGTTGATTCTTATATATTCTCAAGGCATAGAAAATAGAACAAGGAATATAAACACAATTATGGGACTATGTATAGAATTAATGTGGCATTATTTTTCTTTCATTATCTACTTCAGGCTATATAATTTGGCATGCCTATATGAAACTGATTCAGCTCACAAGGCACTCTCTTAAGAAGTCTTAGGAACTGTATGTGTTGTGGGGAAAATATTCTTAGCACCTCCATAAAAATACAGGGTTCTGGGTACCTTGTGAAAACCATGGTTGACTCTCAGATTAAAATTGGTATACAGTTGTGATGATGATGCAAATGTCTTCTTGGAGAGATTTATTGTGTATATTGTTGAGCGTTACTATAAACTTTAAATTAGGAGACAAGGAGGAGTGAGCCTGAAAGTCTGTAGAAATGTGGTTCTGCAAACATTACTAAGTACAAGGACAGACATCCTTGATTGTCTGGTCATGGCATTAGAATATTTTTGTCCATGATGAACCTGGTATTGTATGCATATAACTTTTTAAATTATACAGTCATCATTTATTTAGCAGCTTTTAACTGTATATGCATGATGTTAGCCACAATGACACATGTTTCAAAGTCATATGTGCATCCGCTGAAATGATTTTAAGCTGTTTTAAGTTGTTTTAATTCTGTATTTTGTATCATGTCCTTCCTGCCCTCCCTCTCATGATCTGCCTAAGTTCGCAGAATCAGCACTGCTGTCAGAAGGCCATCTAGCCTCTATTTGAAAATCTCCAAAGAAGGAGAGGCCACCACCTCCTGAGGAAGCCCGTTCCACTGAGGAATTGTTCTGTCAGGAAGTTCTTCCTAATGTTTAGTTCAAAACTCTTTTGATTTAATTTCAACCCGTTGATTCTGGTCCAACCTTCTGGGGCAACGTCGTTTGTTTATATTAAAATAGTCTTTTACCCAATGTAACGTATCTCTTTTTCAAAATTCATGGCCAGTCTTAAAAGTGTGTTTTCACATTTCTGTCATGTTAAAATGTGCAGTTACATAAATCTTTGGTGCAGTTTTATACAATTCCCTAATGAATATCTCCCCTACACCCCCTAGGCAAAAGTGATATAGATTTGAGAGGTAATAGTCTTGATTGGGATGAATTTGTCTTTTGGTCTGTGTATAATAAAGGAAGAGTTTGTAGAATCCTGGAGGGGAAGACTTTGGGGGTGGGATGGGGATTTCCAGGTGAGTCCTCAGTCTCATGATTTCTTTTAGATCTCTTTGTTTTATTGTAATTTTGAAAGCTGAAAAAGTCTATATGACAGTCATTAGGTCTGTTGCTTTAAAGGACCATCAAATAGATATAATGATGGTCCTTGGCCCAGTTGCCAGCTTTCTCATTCATCACCCCATCCCATGATTTTTGAAATAGTTCAGGAGGGAATCCTCTTTATTGTTTTCTAAAAGGTGCTGCAAGACAGCTTGGCTTTAGAGAACTTGTTGACAGAAAAGCAAGAAACTATGTTAGAACAACAAATTTAGGATCTAGTGGCACCTTTAAGACCAACAAAAGTTTATTCAAAGTATGAGCCTTCATGTGCAAGGCAAACTTTTTCAAATACATTGGAATGGTAGGTAAGGTTCAAACTTATAGACAGGGACTTAACAGCAAATCAACATGTAACATTATGATATTTAAGGTATGCAAAGTCAGAACTAAATAACAAACTAAGGTTGTAAGGTCAACAGTTGTAAAGCAATAAACATGTCAGAATAGCAGATTTGTTTAATGGTATCTTGTCTAATTATGGGAAGCAAACTGAGAATCTGCATTCTCTCCTCCCAGGCATGAAGATCACTTAACAGCACTTTTTTGAGGTGGATGCAGTGTCATGTCAGCAAAACATCCCAATATTCCTTGCATGACATTCAGTATTCTAATATAGTATTCTAAAAAGAAATACACTACAATACAGAGGATTTATAGTCCTTGTTGAGAATACATATGTGAGGACTGAATGAATTAGCATATGTTTTTTAAAATTTTATTAAAATACCTGCTCAAATGCAATAGAATTAGCATATGTGATGAGATAAAAAACAGTATCCCTGTTGAGTCCTGGTTGTTGTTTTTTTGTTCAAGTGTTGTTATAACTTGCAAGTTGCAACTCAGCAATTTCTTCTTCTAGTCTGTTCCTGAAGTTCCTTTAAAATAAAACAGCTACTTTGAGGTCGACAATTGAATGTCCTGGAAGTTTGAAGTGTTCTCCTACAGATTTCTCAATCTTGTGATTCCTGATGTCCTCTGGCATAGGTTTTGTCCTATGTAGAGAACCAAAGGGCATTGTTGACATTTGCTGGCATATACAATGTTAGAAGATGAGCAAGTGAGTGAGCCTCTGATGGTGTAGTTGATGTCGTTAGGTCCAGTGATTGTGTTGTCTGGGTGTATGTGGCAGCAAAGAAGCATCTGGGTTTATTTCAAGCTCTGGTCCCAGTGTCCATGTTCAAATTAGATTTTGCATTATTGTGGGTGAGGAGTTGTTTGAGACAGGGGGGCTGTCTGTGCGCAAGAAAAGGTTTGCCCCTCCAGTACTTGTGAAAGAGAACTGTCATTATCCAGTAGAGGCTGTAAGTCATTGACAATGCGTTGAACTGTTTTGTGCTGAGAGCTGTATGTAACCACTAGTGGTGTTCTGTTATTGTGTCTTTTGGGCCTGTCTTCTAACAGGTTTTCTCTGGGTATCATTTTGGCTTTGTTGATCTGTTTCCTTACTTCATCACGTGGAAGTTTTAGTTCCAAAAAGGTGTGTTGTAGATCCCTCAGGTGAGAATCTCTGTCTGTAGGATTGGAGCAGCTGCAGCTGTAGCATAGAGCCTACAGATGAGCTACCAACATTTTCCTTTTAAAGAATGAATAGGATTTCTAGTACCCAGTTTTCCTTAATCAAGAGTAGACCTAAGCCACAAGTGCAATCAACATCAGGTAGGCCATGGTTTAAAGCACTGAGGAAATAGCTTGCTTAGATCCTGAGCAGATAGAACTTTCTTTGCTATCTGAGTAAACAATTTGGTTAAGAACTGATATACTTTATCATTATATTTCCCTTCTGCTAGTAGAGATTGATTAATGTTTTCCTGTTATTTCCCCCCCCCCCAAGTGTTCAGCAGAAATGAGATTTTAATTTTTTGTATTTCTATATGAGTATTCTGGTTTTGTTTACTTCTTTTTCTTAACAGTGATGTGGAATGGAAATTTAGTTTGGCTAAATAAATATCACTAGAATAATGGATAGGAGAAATTTTAGAGCAAATTTTAAGAAATATTAATTCTTGAACTATAGAGGCCCATGACACTTAATCTGATGAAAAACAGCTTTTAAAATATTAAGATTTGGATGTGTGAAAATTAATGTGTCCATTTTACTGGTTTCTGTGAAGATAGAAGAGGAAATTAAATGCAGAGAGAAGAAAAAAGCAGACAAGGAGAAAGCAAGGAAGGAGTTTATACAGAAGGAACTAGAGTTGGGAAAAGAGATGGAAGAAATTGTGTTTCCAGAGGAAGAGCCTGAAACAGATGAACCCCTGCCAGATATCTATATTCCAGAAACTCCTAGCCCCATCCTGTGTGGGTTTTACTCTAAGCCGGGAAAATTTTGGCTGTCCTTGGTAAACCTATTTTTGATTCTCTTTAAATGTGTGATTAGAGACTACAACAAACAGATACTACGAGTATGGACCCAAGCAAAATGTTTTTAGCTTTCTCTTCATATAAATTCAGCCCCAACACCTCAGTGTTGAGTGGGAATTATGGAGTGAATGGGATCAAGTTGAAAACAAAACCTTTCTTACTTGCTTTAGAGCATTGTTCTCATTTAGTGACCTTCATAAATGTTTTCTTTTCCCTTTTCCCCTTTTTTCCTCCTCTTCTTTGCCTTTCCCTTGCCTTTAAACTGCCTCCTTCTTCCACTTCTGCATAGTCACTTCACCATCCCCACTTCCTCCCCCTGATGACCCCATGTTGGTCCTTTCAATACTTCCTGTGATAGCCCTCCATCACACCTTTCCTGATTTTCCTCCCTAATCCCCACCCTTCTTGTTCCCCTTCCCCCAAAGGATTCTGTTCTTTTGGACCCTTCCCATCTCTCCACACTCCCTTTTCAAACTTCCTGTTTTACAATCCTTCTTATTATCCAACTCACTTTCACAATACCCCCTGAACACTCT